GATAACTGTGATGGTGATATTCAACCAATAATGGAGGAGATAAATGCAATAAAAACTTTAGAAAAACAAGAAATGCTGAATTCGGAAACGCAGTACTTACAAAAAATTTCTTCAATGACAGGTCTCTTTTCTTGTTTTGATTTAAGATAGATTGATAGTATTCCTATAATATTTACATAGGTTTTTTATGATGTATTGGTTTTTATTGTTGACATCCAATGATGTCATAAGAATGTTTTGTTTAACAAGGAAATTCACAGAATTCATGAAACTAATCAAACCATGTAATTGTTATACATGCTAAATATGCACATAAACTTAACTAAATTAAACATAAATTGCATTCATAGTTGAATAGGTATTTAAATTATTTTGATGTATGTGTCTATCATTATTTGCTTTTAAATACATTTAACATATCTTTGTTTCAAAGTGTTTAATCTTTTATAGATGTAAGTATAAGGACACTAAGAAGGATAAAAAATGAAGCATTAATTAATAAAGGAAAATGGGACACTCCTGGGAAAAAACGACCTCATCAACCAACAGTGTCTGCTTTAGATAATTTTGATTTAAGTGCAATTCGGAATAAAGTAAATGAATTTTACTGTGTGAAAAAAATTGTTCCAACATTAAGAAGCCTTCACAATGAATTAAAAGATGCAATAGGATTCAGTGGTAGCCGTGAGACTTTACGAAAAATTATGCTTAAGAATGGATTTTCTTTTAAAAGCAATGAAAATGAACGTTCTATGCTTATAGAAAAATACCAGATTTCTGCATGGAGGCACAAGTATTTGAGAGAAATAAATATAAAACGAAACGAAGGAAAGCAAATTGTGTACCTTGATGAAACTTATGTACATCAGAATTATAAAGTTAAAAAGTCTTGGCAAGGACCTTCAACAACTGGTGTCACTACAAAGATATCCTCTGGAAAACGGCATATTGTTGTGCATGCTGGATCTGAGGAAGGTTTTGTGCCTGGTGCATTATTAGTGTTCAGTAGTAAATCCAAATCTGCTGATTATCATGATGATATGAACTCATCGAACTTTATGAAATGGGTCAGAGAAAAATTAATACCAAATTTAAGTAAGCCCAGTGTAATTGTTATGGATAATGCCAGCTACCATATAAAACAAATCAATAAACCGCCTATAATGTCTAATACCAAAGCAGATATCCGTAAATGGCTTGTAAATAATGGAATACATTTTGAGGAATATCAGACAAAGGCAGAGTTAATGTGTTTGGTTAATGATAAGAAAACATTGCCTGTATATGAAGCTGAAGAGATTTTAAAAGAACATAATCATGAACTTTTATTGCTGCCACCGTATCATTGTGACTTAAACCCAATAGAGATGGTTTGGAGTCAAGCAAAAAGAAAAATTGCAAGCAGAAACATTGGAATACCAGGAAAGGAAATGGAAAACTTAATAATAGAGTGTTTTAACTTAATTACCCCTAGTGACTGGAAGAAATACACTGATCATGTTTTAAATGTCGAAAATGATTACAAATTAAAAGATGGCATTGTTGAAAACGAACTTGAAAAATTTATTATATCTGTTGGTGCAGACAGTAGTGAAGAGAGTGACTCTGATGATTCCTTGTCATTGTTATCAGGTGTAGAATATTTAGAAACAGATTTTGACTATGAATCAGACTAAAGTATTTTTAGTCTGATTCATAGTCAAAATCTTATCTTAAATTTTCTATTGTGATTAACATGATGATTTTGTGACACCTGTATTATGTAATTTATCCATGGCACTTAATTGTAACAAAAATAAATGTTTTTTTTATTGTAATCTGGTGTTTATATTGACTAATTTAATTTGATAGATAGTGGTTCTGGATCAGAGCAAAAGGTTGTGATGAAAATCCCTTAGGAGACATGTATGTGTTATGAACACATTATAAATATAAGGGCCAGAAATCAAAATTGGCTAACATCACATTTATTAAAAAAATGTGGCCAGAGTCGCCCATATTCATTACAAAAAAACAAAGAAGTCGTTGCAAAAAACACCCTTTTAATTAATGACAAATATGAATTTTTAATATTATAAGCGCTGTTAGCCAATAGGTATAACGAATGGGTTAAAAAAAAGATTCGATTTAGTCCGTCAGTCAGATAATAGAAAAATATTGGATACGTATTTTTTTTCGCTTTAATTTAACAACAAATGGCTTAAGAGGTACTATGCGACGACTTCAAATATGCTTTGCAACAATGTTACTTTAATACAGTTTATCGATACGAAATCAAGTGTCAAAATGGAGTCCAGTGGAGAATGCCGATATTGACATTTCGAAATTGCTCATCATTGATAGAGAATACGAAATAGTGATTTTGACACAATCAAAGTGTCTATTTTTTACGGTGATGACGATTCTTGGTTGTCAGTTGAGTTAGTGAATAGGCCTACTGATATGCTGTTAACTGTACAATTAAGAACAGTCACGCTTTAGTCAAATGTTCCAAAACAAATAATTTTAATTGATATCTAAATGTTAAGATTAAATATAATTAATAAAAGTATCAAAATTATTTTGCAGTACTACATTCAGTGTTTACTGCTTAAGAATTTTTGAAATTGCCGCCCTTTTCTTGTGACACGTTTCGCTTGCCAGACTCTATGAAGGAGCATTTTCTCCCAAAACATCCTTCATCTCCGAAAAAATCTCTCCACCTTTTAATCCTTTTAAAATGCAAAAACTTTATCACAGCTCGTAGCTCAATTTTATCCATTTTGCAGAAAAAACAAAAGAATGCTTTTTGAAATGTCAATATTTAAAAGAAAAACTATACGATCGATTTGAAACTTGGAACACTGGCAACTAATGAACCAATGAGTAAAATACCAAGGAGATTTTATATCGTTATTATACAAAATATAGCTAGCTATTTATCATCCCGCCTACGTATATATTATTAAGCACAACATTATTTAAATTTTTTTGCTTAGGCAGGTAAGATTTTGCGTAGTGCTTTATGTTTCGGTATGAAGTAACTAAAATGAAAAAAAACTAAATTGTCATGTATAGCGTTCTGACTATCTCACTATAAATTGCTTGTTAATAAATATGATTACTAAATAAACAAATAATATAAAATTACTCATTATTTGCATTGATTAGACTCTGAAATAGGCATGTGCGCCGATGCCGAAATCTTCGGCAGCGGCGTGGAGCTAAAAATTCAGTGGCGGCGGCGTAAACGGCGTCGTTATGTTATGCCTTTATATTTGTTTGTTTGTTATTAATGCTAATAACACCTTTTAAGTAACAATCAAATATGGCACAACTATGCTCTTCTAAATTATTTAACGTAGTCGTAATTATATTAAACAACAATTTTTAGCAATCCCTGGATCCAAGGGTTGAAGTTCCATCTGAGAATGCCAGGGACAAAGTGGATTTTTAAGCATTTTCATTGAGAATATAATTCTAAACATTTTTAATAAAGTTTACTTATATTTAACTAATGTATGTAGGTACTATTTTGGTCGAAAACTTTTTGCCATCTTGTAGGTAGGGACATGATCCCGTTGCTATAGAAATTTTGGGGCTTCTAATCAAGAAACCGCGACAAGTGGTTTTGACAATCCTCGCGTGATGTTAACCTGACACTGCCTAAAGAATTCTGAAGAGACCTAAACAGGTGGAAATCTGAAGGAAAACAGTACGGCGGATGCATTAACACCTTCCAGCCAAACTCTCTTAATTTAATGAAAACGACTCCCCTTCTATTGATTAATTCTGGCCGCTATCTCTCAACTTCTTGCTTTAATCTCATCAGTTGTTCGCAGTAGTGTTCAGAATCGATAGTCCTGCCTGGCGGTAACAGCTCATAACGAATAATGCCCTTCCAATCCCACCATAAAACAACATTTTTGCCAGTTAACCCGGGTTTTGCCACAGTCTGCAAAAGCCTGACTGACCTTTGACCACAATTTTTTTCGCATGTTCTTGTCGTACGTGATCCAGTTTTTATCACCAGTTATCAGCTTCTTCAAAAATGGTTCGGTTTTATTACGCCGCAATAAAGAATCACAAAAGAGTACACGGTTTATTAGGTTTCTTTTACGGTTTATCAAAATTGCCAGGCTGAAAACGCTTAAACCAAATTTGTGCTTCTCTCACAGAAACTGCACTAGTTCATAAACATTTTTCGCGGCTTGCGTTACGTTTTTACCTTTTTATAATAAATTTTTTAAAAAGTATTAAAGTTCTTTATCTTAGATTTACTCATGAAAACCACAGATTTTCTCAATTTGAATTCGAAATCTTCTTTAAAATTTAACTTTTTAATAATACCGAAACCAGCCACAAAGAAATAATATAGCCAGAAAGATTTTATTACAACTTTATGCATACTAAATGCGAAAAGACTTTTTCCCAATCTAATAGTTATCATGTATAGAAATTATTTAATGAATATTGTTCCCAGTTAGACGTAATCGTTTAGCCGTTTTAGTGACAGGTTTTAGTAAGACCAACTACAGCACAAGCTACAGAGAATACACGTTCGCTATATGTGATTGTAGCGGATTAGCTAGAGTAGACAAATATGGGTAAGTATTGAATTTATGATTACTGCCAACTCCATCTTGTAAACATTGTTGACAGCTGTAAATAAAGAAGAAGGATTTGATTGTTTATTAGTTTGTATTTGAAATACGGATGGAAAATGAGGAGGAGAAAACGGAATGAGGAAGTATTTAAAAAAAACATTAGTTCCCAAAATCAAACTAGATGTCATTACAGTACTTTCCTGTTTCTCCATGACAAACCTTCCGGTTTTCTTTCATGTATAAAAGTAAATTCATTTTCAAAACTCAATAAACAACTCATATTCTATTTGTACTTTTTCGTATTTGTATTGATAACTATGTTTAGAACTTTGCAAATTTTAGTTTTTTAATATGTTAGTCAAAAGGAACGGAAATGATTAATGATTAGCTTTTTGTCAAACTGCTCTTTGCTTTTTGTACTCTGTGGGGATAAGTGGGGATAACCTTAAAAGTTGTTTGTTGGTTATTTTGTGTAAAATCGTGTCGGGCACGAGATTTTCATTAATAAGATTTAATTAAAGCAATGGTCTCATTACAGCCTATCGGTATGAAAAAAAGAAAAGAGAAAACTAATAAAAACCAAGTTAAAGACAAGATCAAAAAGAGATCTAAAGATGAAATTGTAAATACCATGGATAAAACAAATAAAAAAAAGAAGAAAGTAGCTGTGATGAGTGTAATTCAAGATGAGAATATTACAGTCCAGAAAAAGAAAACTAAATTTATTATGCCTTCAAGATATATTACGGAAAGTATTGTGGAATCTTGTCTGAACGCATTAGATCAAGTGGCGGCTTGCAGTATTAAAAAAAATGCTATTTTTGAGGATGAACAAAAAATATTTGCTGAAATACACTGTATAAAAATCCAAACCAGTACTGGGAACATTAAATTGTAAGTTTATTTACAATTTCAATTATTTCATCATAGAAAACCTAAAATAATGATTTTTCATAAATTAATAAAAGTGTAAATTAATTGTTATTAGATAAGCAACATTAATAATACAAATTCCAAATTTAGATCATTCATTAGAGCTTATAGTTACTAAGAGAAAATTGTATTCAGTGTTACTTTGTAAGTTCATCATTAATAACTTAGTAAGAGAGGCACAAGTAAGGAATATTTTTCAACAATAAACACACAAAAGAGTCAATCTCGTGAGATCTTGCGGTATTAATGTTCATAAACTTGCGAGAGCTCCCCTGAGCCCTGATCTCGTGAGATTGCATTCCCTAGGCACAAGTTGCTCATTCTTCCTTTGTACCTAAAAACAGGTTATTAATATTGATGTGTACAAAACACTATTCTCATGTTTAATATTATTTAATATAATGCTGTTAAGAACAGTTTATTGTTCACACTCTGTTTCTTCCAGTGTTCTTCCTCATAGTACAGCAGCATCAACTGGTGAAATATGCCTTATTACACCTGACATAAGAAAAGGTAAAAAAATAGATCATGAGCCCACAATAGATCATTGGGAAGAAATATTGAAAAAGGCTGATGTAACTTGTGTAAGTACATATGTTAAAATGGGCTACCCTTTAATTGTTTTAATGAATAACTATGAATATGAATACTGAACAGAATATATTTAATCTGGATGTCTGTACTTTTCACAGGTTAAAACAGTCCTTCCCCTGAGGCAACTAAAAGTAGAATATGATCAGTATGAATTAAAAAGGAGATTGCTCACCCAACATGACTTTATCATGGTTGATACAAGAATTTTAAGCCATGCCTCAACAATTTTGGGAAAAAAGTTTTTTAAAAAGCATAACATGTTGATTCCTGTAAAAGTAAATGAAAAAAGTAAAGATTTAAAAAAATGTATTGATATTGGTTTGCGTACAACTATGCTACGGCTTGGACAAGGACCTACAACTGTAATTTTGGTTGGCCATACTGGCATGCCAAAAAGTCATTTAAAAGAAAATATTATGTCACTAGTTGAACAACTTAAGAATAAATACCCAGGGGGTGAAGCGAACATCCGATCTATAGCTTTAAAGTTACCATTGTCATTATCTATTCCTTTATATATTACTTTGCGTAAGTAACCAATATTCTTAATATGATTTTGAAAATCTCAATTATTTTTAGGTTTTAATCTAGCGAGTTAAATCAATGTAAACAATCTAAACCAATAGATTACAACAATATTGCTTTCAACTATACGTTAATATGAGTGAGCTTTATTTATATTATAAATTATTTAATTACAATCATTAACAGGACCTTCAAGTTCAGTAAACAATCCTCCAAAACTAAGAATGAAAAAACCTAAGAATTTCAAAGATGTTGAAGATGAGCTATCAACTATGCCTAATACTGAAGTGAGAGTAGCTCCTGATGGAACTGTTACCTTAAAAAAGAAGAAACCCAGGTATTCCAGAAGCTTTTACATATCAAAATAAAGATAGTCCTGTGATAGATTTTATTAAATAATATTTATTAACAATGCCTAATAAGCATGCAATACTTGACTTGCAATAACATAAATACTTTCATGCAAGTGATAGTATTTTCATTACCAACTTAAGTATCAATAGCAGTTAAATATAGTAATAACAACAATTTACAAATTTTCATATCATAAAATAATCATTCATTAAACAGTTTGTAAAAATATTTTTTTTTTTTTTGTATAACTGAAACTCATAAAATCAATAGATCGTAAATTTGAATAACAATATAATTTGAAACAATGTAGTATAGTGCCATCTCTTATAAATATTAAGAAATATAAGTACTATGGCCATTTATTATTGCTTTGTCCAAGTCAAAAAAGTGCATTTGGTTCAAATTCGTTGACATTGGATTCAATGAATAACTATTCAACAGTCAATATGTTCGCATAATTCTAGTTTCAATGATGTTCATTAGTAGTTTTTTGACTCATTGCAAAATATCAAAAACTTAAAACAAGTAGAACAGACTTCTTACTCTAAAAAAGTGATAAAAGATACTTACCTCAAAAGCGACTTAAAGGAGTTGAACGGAGGTCTTCTGTAGGTTTATTAATTAAATGATAGGTGCCCGACTTCAAAAGTCTTTTCTTAAATAAGTCGCTATTGAGATAAGAATTCTATATTCTTAAGTTTTTATTTCATGCATTTTAATTATGATATTTTTTATATAATAGATAACACTAAAAATATTAAATGCTTAGCCTATGTTCATCGCATATGATGTAGCTTCCTGTAGCTGAAAGAATTTTTAAAGTCCATCCAGTAGTTTTGAAGCCTATTCGTTACAAACAAACAGACACTCAAATCTTTCCTCTTTATGATATAAGTATAGATATAGGTAGATCTATATAAATAAAAATATTCAATATAGTGAAAGTATTAGAAAATATTTGTTTATTTCTCTACATATTTGTTTCCAATAATTCTATACTCATATTATATATTGATTGCTTGAATTTTACATTAAATAGGCTCCGAAACTATTGGACCAATTTATAAGTCTTTCATATATGGGAAGCTAGATAATACGCGGGGAAACAGCTTGTTACTTTTAAGTGGATTTTAAACATTTTTCATCAACAACATTTTTCAGTATAGCATTGTAAATGCGAAATAGATCAAATATAATATACTTAGTTAATGAGAATAGTTGAAATTTTGTACTTTTCTCGATTCACATTTGGACATGATCACTAAGTTAATTATTTCTATTTTAGAAAAAGTTGTGAAATCCAGACCAGTGAAGAAGAGGAAGAGCTTTCAGATAAGGATGAAGAATCTGAATAAAATTATTACTAAGACAAAATGAATGAATAAAAGCAAATTTATAAACATACATTTAATATTTTATTAAAACAGACTATTCATAAACAAAGATAAGACATTTATTATCCTTTATTATAATAATCACTAATCTGCAGTTTCATTAACATAATTCTGTTCACGATTCATTGAACTAAGGTGTTTTTCATTAGAGCTGTTTGCTGGCATAGAAATTAAAGATATTTGCATTTTAATAGGCCACACCTTCTTAAACTTTTTGAAATTTTTTACTTTAGTATTTTGTTCCTCAACAAACACGGGTTCCTTTTTAACAATCAATTCCTTTTTAACTGTCACAATAGTGGTACCCAAATTGAGTTCACTCATTCTCTCATCTAATTCTTCTTTTATGAACTTCTTAGAAATATCAATATCTTCATTCTTCAATAACTTTTCATTATTTTTCATTAATTCTTCCAATTTTGCTCCTCTTAAAGATGCTAAGTCTTCATTTTTGTATGTTGTACATTTGGTTTTGTTTGATATAATTTCAGATTTTCTTTCTATTTCCACACTGTCAATTTCTTTTTTACTATCAAAAATATTTGACTTGTTGTGATAAGGCATTTTCGGTTTATTTTGCACAAATTGAAATAAAGAATCTTCATTATCATCAGATTCTAATTTACGCTTATGTGGTTTAATCAAATTTAATCTTTTTGTACTCTCTTCATGTTGCTCAGTATTGTGAGTACTTGATTTAGTGACAAAATTGAAAGCTTGACTATCACCAGATTCAGAACTGACTGCCAACTTTTTTGTAGGATTTGTTTCAATCTCATGTTCATCTTCATTTTTTCTCTTAGTGCCAATATAAGCTTCAACATGACTGGATATACTAATAGCTATTTTTTTCAGAGAATTTTCTTGAATATCATTTTCATCACAAGCCTTTCGTTTTTGGCTTTTGCATTTTTCATTTTCTATATTATTAGTAGATGATAAACTTTCATTGATAACTACATTTTCTCTATTGGATTGAATGTTTTGATTTTGCTCTTGAGTTTCTTGAGCCAATACTTTGCTTTGTTTAATATTTTGATCTGATTGCTTGATTATTTCTGTTGGAAATTGGAAGTCTGGGTTACAATATTTCTGAGTAGAACAATACAATACGGCTAAACCTATTTCAACATCTGTTATCAATCTTTTTCCTTTACTCTTCAAATAATCTACTATTTCTTGAATCAAATGTTTTTGTGTTTCAGTCTCTTGAGATGCAGCAGTTATATTATACTGTATAACAATAAAATTCTTTTCACATAGGGTAATTTTTTTTAATGCACATTCACTCAATAGCAAAGGATTTGCTGCAGCATTTGATAATACAGTTTTATACATTTCATATTGACGTTTTGAAAAAAACACTACAGTTTTATCAGAAAATAAAGTTTGTCTTCGGCTGTTAGGCAAGAATGTGACATTTTCTTTATTAAGAGTGGATTCAATAATCTGTGGTGTATAATCATGAGGATCCGGAAGCATTACCTGACTCTTCACAGCGTCAAGACATTTATTCCAAAATTCGACTGTAACAATATGAGCACCTTGAACTAGCGCTAAAACAACTTTCATTGTCAAAGTAATGGCAGGCATTGTAAGATATTTGCAAGATTCATCCCATTCACTCTTCAGTGTGCCTGAGAGACTACTCAAACACTCCCTTAAATTTTGCAAATTTTCGCCTTTAAGTGTAGAAGTACAAGTCACCAACGACTTGAAATGAACTTTAAAAACACTAGACATTTTCCCAAATTTAATATGATCTCCTTCATTTAATTGTTTCATCAACTTGCTTTCAACTTTGTCACTTGAATTATTGACAAATGTTCCATATCTAGAACCCAGATCTTGTAAAAATAATTCGTTATTTACATTATACAGAGTGGCATGCTTTCTGCTGATAGACGGATCATCAGCTATCACAAAACACTCTTGCTGATCAGCATTACGACCGACTGTGATTTCTTCAGTAACATAAATTACCCGACCATTTTTCTCGTTTGCCAAATACCACATTTTGTCTCCGATTGATTACATAAAACGATAATTCAACGTACCAACTACTGGAATCTATAATTAATAACAATAATAACGAAAAACAGAAAAGAAACTCCGAACCGCTGACGCCGACCACAGAGTAGGATTGGGCAAAAAATACCAATAAATCAAAATATCGATATTTATTTTCAGATATCAAATTCGTATCATAATCGATATATTTACAATTTTTATAGATAATTGCTTATTGCGCAAAAATATCGATATGTCAATATATTCTTGACATTCTTTATCGATTCATTAAATAAATATCGATATGATATATATCGATATTTTTTTCCCATTAGCCCATCTCTACCACATAGCAATATAGAATTTGGAACAATTTTTTATCTTTGCACTAGAACTACAGCAAATCGTATGAATTCGGTACTGAGTAACGGGTGCGCCGTCTAGTACCGAGTAACGAAACGTTACACACGAATGCATTCGTTATTCGCATCGCATTTTTTTTATACTGTTTCAGTTTACGTACTAGTGCCGTTGTTACGGGTATGAAGAAGTATTTAAAAAAAAACGAAAATTCGTATTACCTGTTTATTGTATAAGACAATATCTAGAAGATCGCATTATTACTCGAAATGAATTCTATACCCCGAACTTTCAAACTTGTTTGAGAAATATTTATCAGTGATTACCTCGGTACCATCTGAAGGACCTTTTCCAAATCGGTCCAAATATTAAATGAGAGGCGTAGCTCTATTCAACTAATGCGAATAGAAAAGATTTTATTTTTAAATATGAATCAGAGATTCCCACCCTAAAATGTGTAAATTCATTATAAATAAATTATTTTCTACTCACTTTTTTTGCGTTTCTACACTAAATGAATGTACAATACGTGCACGCAATACGATTCGATTTGTTTCTCTAACGTAAATATGATGTATTAGAAGTAACGAGTAACGTAACACAGATATAAAATAAATATTATTGTTAACGGAACACCCTGAGTGTCACAGAACTCACCGTCAAGCCGAAACGGAGTGACAGGATAATTGTAACCATCATGAGAAACTCAAAAAAAATCTATTCTATGCAGTTTGAAGGTATTCTACAAATAATTGTTCCCTAAGTTGAAAGCTAATCAAAGAAGTATTACAATCCGACGTCTAGTTTATACATACATACATCCATAAAATTTAATACTCGTATTTATAAGTTCATACAGGCAAATATTTATGAATTCGTTGGAATGACATTACCGTCATTTTTCTAGAGTCGCCATTTAGTGGAGGTGCTTTTCTAGTGCTTTTAATTAAGCAGTCCAGTGCAGACTCAGTCCTGGCAGCACCCGTTGACGAGATTGACGCATGAGCCAGCCATCGCTTCACTCAACTATATTTGAGTGAACCTGAAGTAACATATGTCAATAAAACAGATTTTTAGAGTAGGAAGTCTATCTATTATTGTAACAGATAGGAGGTAGTGATAGGAGTTGAAGGAAAAGAAAGGGCTCAAAGTTAAGGAAACAATATAATAATAAAATAATTAAAATATATACAAAATAAAATATGCAGCTAACTTACGTGACAGCAGAAAGAACAAAGAGCAAAGGAAAAAAGGAGAATAAAATGTCAACAAAAAAATATACTTCTAAAAATAACTCATCGGCCTGCTGATATTCTTGTAAGAACCAAAAAAGCACATACCCACCCAAACAAATTTAAATAACACCTGGCTCGATGTACGCCGTCGACATGCAAGTTCATTAGCGATAATATAATAACTGTCACAAACTGCATAGGTATAACTGTACATGTCTGTGATTTTGAAGTTTATATTTGCTGTCCATTTCGAACTATAATGTGAATATAAGATTTAATAACTGATCATACTTTTTTATCTCTTTTCTGCATCTCTATATTTTTACATCCTTAAAACTGCAAAGAGGCATTGAAGCACGAAGATTTTAGTACAAATAACTGAATTATTAGTCCTTACTTATAAGATAATATCCGAAAACTAGGCTGTGTCAGGTAGCTCGCTTTGCCATAAACAAATAAAAACGTAGTGTTTAAATACTCTTTGTTTTGTAAACCAATTAAAAATAATCTGGTTACTATGGCAACGCGGTGAAAGTTTCAAACACGGCCCGTCAACTCCGTACAATAAACCAATCCCGTAGGGGTCCAGTGATGTATGACATTTCCACACGCCCCTCACCCCTGTTAGTAGATGGAGACATGACACCTGACAGAAACTGTCATTACAACAAAGAGTAAAGATACTAATGTTTTAATTAATCTTTAATTAATTTTACTTGTTGGAATTAATTTATTCATTTCACATTGGCAAAATTGCGTGAAATACGCAGATATGCCATTAATAAAAGAAGAAGAAGACTAAAGTATGTACCTACATATCAGGGAATTACAAGTGATTGAGTAAAGTTTCTTTTGTGCTTACCCTGTTCGCTTTATTTGTAATATAAACTCTCAATTTTTCGAAGTATTTTTATTTGTAGAAGATGCCTAAGAAATTGGTGTGATGTGTTATGGTTGTGTTACACGCATTGTTAAAGTACGAACAGGACGCTATTCTTTGTAAGATTCTAGTGAACGAGAAAAGATTCTCCAAGTGGTTACAATGTCTTAGTGCTGTGTGTGATACTGAAAATTTTAATCCCGGCAGAAGTGTCATTTGCAGTAAACACGATGTACCAAGATTCATCACTCCAAAATTATGACTCTTGGGTGATCCATATCCGTCATTGTTTAATGATGATGTGCTCTCAATCAGCCTACCCTCTTCAAGCAATACTGGTAAGGCTGGTTTAATCTGCTATTACCTTTAGATAATGTAATTAAAATGATATGTATCTTCACTTTATGTTGTGTTTTGGAATACCGCTATTCTTCATTAGATTTTTTTTTATTACAGAAATTATATTCACTTGGGAACACAGCTATGCAAGAAAAAGTCATGTGACCACACATATTAGAAAGTGGAACTGAACAGAGGTTTGTTTTTAATTTATTTTATTTAAATAACAAAGTTCATGCTGCAGTTTTGATGTATTTTAATATAGATTTTTGCTTTAAAAAAGTCTAGTAGATCTCTCTTTCTTATACACATAAAGAAAAATTACATTAAGTTACTTAACTCTAGCAGGCACGCTAGAAGTGATTTTGATCAGAGAAATAATTGATAATATAAATAACATTTTTCTTATATCATCTAAGATTATATCCTGTTTTTTAATCTTACACACATAATCAATATTGATTTCATAGGTGGTGTAATTTTAATAGAACAAATTGAGACTCCTGTGTCTGCAGCCACTGAGTTTACTCAATTAAAATATGACACAAACTAAGCTATCTGGTAAGACCTGTCTCTTTCTTTAGTGTATCTTTATTTCAATCAAATAGTAGTTCTAATAGAGAAATTCACTAAATACTTTTGATGTTACAGACCCTGTGAAATGTACCCAAACAAAAAGGAAAAGGCTTATTACCAATTGTCAATTGGCAATAAAGCCAATTGTCACCTTTATACCAGAGAATTTATGAAGAATATAACAAGCCAAAGACGTAGTTTAACTTTCTTAAAAAAGTTAAGAATACTTAAATACCTTTAAGTTTTTTATTTTATCATCCAAAACTACACTGAATAGATTAGAAAATTGATCATAGAACCAGGTTTCGTGTAAGAGGTAAATATATTCCATATAAGTTTTTTCATACTACTTTTATAATTTTACTACCAAATAATAATATTTACTTTTTCTACTACTATTTGAATTTACTTTTTCAGGTGGACAAATGAAACTCCAAAAAAATATGCTCCATTATAATTGATGAGATGTCATTAGAAACAGCACTTTCGTATAATAAAAGTAATAAGGATTAAAGATAACATTAATGGATTTGTAGAACACCAAGAAAAGAAAGTGGATTTTGCAGATCATACTCTTGTATTTATGTTGGTGCTGTTTACAAGTGGCAACAGCCTTTATGTTTATTTATGTCTATCAAGGAGCGACAGCTACTGTACATCAAGAATATTTTAAAGTTAGTAGTAGGAAAAGTTGTTGAATTGGACCTTAATCCTATCGCAATAATATATAACCAAGGCTCAGCTTTCCAATCAGCACTCAAAAATCTAAAAGAAGACACTTAGTGTGATCAAATTTTAAATTGAAATCACAGGTTGGTACAGAGAATTATATTTATATGAAAGAAAACTAATAGATTTAATGAAAGTAGTGAAGGTCCTTATTTTTATATTGTTATCTATGTTTTAAGAAGTTCTTAAATTTTTGTTTCAGTTGGCATTCTTAAAATATGTGGGATGGATTTGAACATTATGATTCTACACACTTGATAAAATGTATCAGGAATAATTTTGGTGGTAAACTTGCAAAATGGCATGATATTATTTATGTCTATGAGACAGACTGTCAACACACTGAAGCTGGGCTACGTCATAAATTAAATGACCAATGAGTTATACCTGATAAAATTAAAAAGATGAAGGTAATGCATTGGTTATTATATTAGTATAACTTAAATTAGTATAAAAAAAAATAATAATTTGTATTCAGCTTCTATATTCTCTATCAGAGCAAGTGTTGATACAATGACCTGTATTTTTAATTATGTAACAAGTAGTTAATATAGTTTACACTTAAATTACAATAATGATTCTCTAATGAAGATAATTTTAAATATGATATCTCTTTTTGCAGGTAAAAAATTGTGTAAAAATATGTCTGCAGCTTTGTCTTACACTGCAAATTTCTGTGAGTATTAGATGAAATTTACTAACAGTTAATTGTTTTGAATTTCATACAAGTTTCATACAATTATTATATGAATATTTTAATTTGCAGCAACTTATGAGGATGTGCACAACATTAAGAAATGCAGCTGAAGTTGTTTCATTCTTTGACCAATTATTTGATAGTGTCAATGGAGCATCGATAAACAAAAAAAGCATAAAGGAAAAGAGCTGTGACAGATAAGACACACCATCATTCTTTCTGGCCAAGAGCAATTAAAATTTTAGAAAGTTAAATATGTGTATAAAAAGGTATGCAAAAATCAGTGCACTCTTTAAAAAAAATTGTGATTACCTTGAAAAGTTTCATAAGGTTGTGCCACTAAAAAAACGTAGCTAGGAATTGCCGAGAATGCAGAAGAGAGCTGTGAAAAATATAATAAGTTAAAAAATAAATTATTCAATAAATAATATTGGAAAAATGTGTGTTTTATTTACGTGTTCATTTTTCCTTTTTTGTTTTAATACAACAATAATAATAAGCTAGACTAATCAGTCTGCTTTATTATTATTGTTGTATTAAAACAAAAAAGGAATTTAAAGTAAAAATAAAGTGGAAACTAGGAAGACGGCTATGTACCTACCCAAAACAGGGCTGTATAGCTAAATGCTTTTGCCCATACTAAATCTATATATTTAAAACGAATGAAGCTGTCATGTATCACTGGCTCCCAATCACGTTCTACGAAGAAATTTTTTGTTAGGAAGTTGGTCGTCTGATACCTACTAAGTCTGTGGTTTCAAATCATAATGTAAATGTTTTCAATTTACGTTATATTTATTCTTATTGAGTGATAAATATTACTTTTATCTTTCGTCTAAGTCACTGCGGGAGAGAAGAGTTACCATGCTTATAGAATAAATAGAAAACTCCTAATTTTAAATACCTACTACGCTCTAAGACTCGAAATGAACAAAAATTTTTAACAATAAAAAAATCAAATTTTAATTTGTTTCGCTCTTGTTTAATTAGTGTGAGAGTGAAAACCCATATAATTATAAAGCTTTAATAAACTTGAGGCATTGCAAGCTCATTTGGTCAAAGATTATTTTCATTATTCAATTAAAAGACATGACTTTATATACTGACATCAAACTTAGCTTCAGTGATGCAAACATGGTGTGTACAGTTGGGGCATGGCACCCATCTTTACCACTTTTAGCTGTAGGTTCATACAATCAAGAGAAAGGTGGTTTCGTGACAATTTTCCAAGAGAATGTGAGTAACTTATCTATTTCAGACATAAAATATTTATAAATATAGCAACATCCTATTATTACCAGAGATGAAACAAATATACAGTTTCTAACCGGATACCATTATAGGTACTCAATATTTGGCCGGATACCAGATAGTAAAAAAAAACATTATTTTACACAAGGCAAATACACCATAATAAGCTATGGGTAGCATTTTTATTTATAAAATCCGATGTCTGAAATTTTTAGTACACAAAATAAATTATGAAATGGTAAATTGTGGAGAATAAATAGAAAAACCAAATCTTTGTCATTCATTTTATTTTAAAATATAATACCTTGAGTAATGTTTTATAACCCCCTATGGATCTCACAGTGTGAATAAATCAAAAAAGCTGGAGTCATAAACTTTCATTCATAACTTGATGGATATTTCAAATAATTTAAAGCTGTAAACCCATAGCAGTATTGAAATAAAAATGAAAAGACACATCAACAAAAATATATGTTTACAAAATCAGTTATACAATACATTACAATTATAATGCATTATATAAGATTATATAATTTCAATAGTTAGGTTTCTCACCTACCTATATTTCCCGTCGTTTCGACCAAGTTACACCGGCCGTGGTCACGGGCTGACTGTTTCAGCGATGCTACGTCTCATCTTCTGAAGTGGAATCCACTTCTACCATCCAGTTTTTTCTCCAGGTACCACCACACACAACACTAACGGAATTCCTATTCTGTATCGCAGCCGTATTCCGCTGAAGGAAGTTTTACCCTTACAAACACCTGGCGTGTATAAGATTGATTGCAGATGTGGTTGTTGTTACATTGGTCAGACGAAACGAACAATACCTGAAAGAGTCCGTGAACACATCACAGTTGTAAATGAACCACTAGGTAAATAAATCAGCGACTGCAGAACACTTATTGGAAAGTCGCACAAACCACTATATTGAATTCCATCGTATACGGGTACTTTCTGAGGATCGTCATTTCTATTTGCTGATTGTGCGTGAGGCGTTTAAAATTAATAAACATTCCGGTAATTTTGGAAGTGGATTCTACTTCAGAAGATAAGACGTAGCATCGCAGAAACAGTCAGCCCGTGACCGCGGCCGGTGTAACCTGGTCGAAACGGCGGGAAATATAGGTAGGTGAGAAACCTAACTATCGAAATCTATCGCGTTAATACCCGTCTTATACAATGTAATATAAAGCAACGCGAAAGTTTAAAAGTTTATTTAGTACGAAGATATTATGTACTCAAAAGACTTATTTTGATATTTAAAATTTTCAGGGCTTAGCTTTAGAAGGTTGTGAATGGCCAATTTTGTTATCCAACCAAGTAACGGCCCTAGCATGGCACCCCACCAGAAGATTATTAGTTGTTGGCTGGGACGGCGGTGAACTATATATATGGCTAGAATATTCATGGGCACGATTAGAAGCTCCTCATAATGCAGCACTCACAACAATTGCTTTTAGTCCAGGAGGCGGTAGATTGTTAGCGTCAGATGCCGCTGGATCTCTGTCTGGATGGCAATCAAGCTCTGGAGCGCCTTTAACTTCATTTCACCATCAGCTCGGAGATGTAATTACTTATATTACATATTGTTCTCCACAACCAAGTAATGAATCATCAATACGGGGTTTGGCTAGAGCTGCTGTTGCCGGGGATGAAAATGCTTTGGATGCTTTAGCTGCATGGCGTCCTCGAACAACGGCTAAAATGAGAGAAGGTGCCCAACCCGATAACCATTGTTGCTATGCGGTGCAAGATAATGGGATTATTCTATATATCAATCACTCAGGATCCTGTTCAGAAGTCCTTAATGCACCTGGAAATATAATATTTGTAGGAATAATAAGTAATATTTATTTACTCGTTGCTTGGGAATCTGGAGGAGCCTTAAGTTTAACAAGATTTATGACTGCTGATGATGGTTCTTTAACTACCGACACGCATGTTAGAATGGCAGCTAGAAATGGGCAAAGTGTAGTCCTTGCGAGCAATTTTTATGTAGCAGTTATAACTGGAGACAACTTATTAAGAATATGGGATAGTGAGACCGGAGATAATGATGTTTTACCGAACGAAAAAGAAACTATCGCTGAAGCGGATATTTTTACAAGCATCAGTTACTGTAATCTGAGTGATACTCTTTGTTGTGGAACTGCTCAAGGCAATATTTACCTTTGGCGTCGTGATCATAGAAATCGTTGGAAGCTAATAAGTAGTACTGCAGTTAAGGGAACAGTAAAAGAAGTAAGTTGGGGCTCAGAAGGTTTAATGAATCCATTGTTATATGTTAACTGCATTACAAGCGCTTTCATACTTCGTGAACAACCTGTCTGCTGGGGTTACTCTCCAAACGTATGGATGGTTCAAAAGTCTGCTGTAGAAATAGCTATTACAAATAAGAATAATTTGACATCAAGCATAAATACCACAATTACTATAAGAGCATTAGCTTTTGAAAATAATTATATCGCACTAGGAGATGGAAAAGAAGTACAAGTAAGTTACAGGCTTTTTATTAATTTATAGTAAGTAGTTTTAGTATATTACAATCAGTTTGTTTGTTTTCGCATTTCAGATTTGGATGAGCAACAAAGACAATGATGTAAAATTTTCTCTTATGCGTTCATTCCCTTGGAAAACTGAAGTTCTTATAATACATAATGATGTACTTGTAGGAATTGTTAATCCGCATATTGAATGTTACACGGTCACGGGCAATAGTCTAGGTAATTTACCTAGTGCTGAAGGAGAAGGTGAACCAATAGGAGTTACTACTACGAATAAGTTTATTGTCATTGCTACAATGGACGGCACTCTTAAATTAGTAGAAATAACTAAAAAAGGTCTCAGATTGCCATATCCACCTAAAAATTGCTATCAAATGATTGAGGATTTTGGAGAAGTCATGAGAGCTTCCGTGAACTGTAGTGGACGTTACATTTGTTTAAGTGTCGCAAATGCCGGACTAGCACCAGATCCCAGATTATATATTTGGGATGTGGCAAATGATGTTGTTACCAACATGCACCTCGATGAAAGAGCTATTCCCCCATATCAAAGCGTACCTATAGCCATTCTTTGGGATCACAATGACCCTCGAATTGTATCAGTGCACATGAGGTCAGCAGACTTAGATAGAATTCATTTGTTTTTTTGTCACGAGGGAAAACTCTTCGAATATAAAAATTGGTCATCTATCACTGAAGATTACTTTTTAACTGATTTTATGCTCTGCTCATTATACACCCCAAATGTGATAATATTGGGACAGCAAAATCTTAGGAAAATCTTAATGTATGAATTTTCAGACGCAAATTATCATGACTCCGTCAACATAAGACAAATATTAGATTTTCTTTATTACATGACCATAGGTAATTTAGAAAAAGCTGTAGTCGTTGGAACGAATATTTCAGGCGGTAAAACATCTATTATTTGGGATAGTCTGGCAAAAGTTTGTGTTTACCGAAGACGACCTGATGTTGGTGCTGTATGTTTGAGTAAAATGGAAAATATCAAAGGCGCCCTTATGATGCGTAAAATATTAGACGACAACAATATAGATGATGCATGTAAAGTTGGCGTACTTGCCGTTAATCTTGGTATGTTAGATGACGCAGAAAATTTGTTTTGCGAAGCTCAAAGAACAGATTTAATTAATCGTCTCGTATCTGCAAAAGAAGGTGGTCTTCAAGAAATTTGTAATGAATCAACTGAAGGTGAAAATATCTTGTTAATTAAGAGTGCTCAACATAAATTAGCAAAAGTGTTGTGGGCTAACGGTGAAACTGGAGCATCTTTAAAACTTTTTGAAAGCGCTGGGACATTAGTCCCTCACGTACCTAGAATGCTTATTGCGCAAGGTCAAGTCACCGTATTAGCCCAGTATATAACCAATTCAAATGATCCTAATTTAATAACATGGTGGGGCCATTACCTAGAAAGTATTGGTGATTTAGAGGGAGCTCTAGAAGCTTATGCTCGTGCACATGATTTTGGCGAACAGACAAGGCTTTTATGCCATATGGATAGAATAGATGAGGCCGAAAAACTTTGTCAAAAAAATTCATCATCGATGTACCAAATGGCGCGATATTTGGAAATGCAACCCGATAAAACAGAACAATCGGTTAAGGTAATCATGATCACAATTCATTAATACAATAATTAACAGAAAAATGAACATTTCAACGTCATATAGTTATTTCCAGATGTATATAAAATGTGGCGCTGTCTCTTCTGCTATACGCGTTGCAGCAGAAGCAAGTGCGTGGAATCTCGTGTGGCGTGCTGGTTCATCGTCTACTACCCATGCTCTACATGCCGCATCTATTTTAGAAAATGCAAATCAAAATGAGCACGCTATTGCCCTATACCAGAAAGCGGGTAAATCATTTTTATTTTTATGCAGCTTTCCGCCAGCGGCTTCGCACGCGTGGTCCCAACGGAATTGCTTATTTAGATATGACAATTGAATAGTAAACAATGCTTACTATGTTACTATGCAACGCATTAATTCTCCATACAAACTTCCACTTCCATTTTCATCCCTTTATTTGCTATAGCTTCTCCTAGGTGAAAGTATCGGTCCAGTAAATTCGGAGTATAGTATATTGGCTCATGCTCATACTCGAGTAGCTCGAGTAAATGAAATAACTTTTTAATAAATGTAGATGGCTTCCAATTCTAAAACTAGCACCTACCTAAGGGTTTTAACATCTTGATGGTGGTAGTCCCGGCGAATACGCCCGGATTCTCGGGTGCCACCTCCGAACGAGGGTATGCCCAGCCATTTTCGTGGCTAGGTGGAGAGTCCCACTCGCCCCCGTCAGGTGGCAACGCTAGTGCGTACCGCATTTTCCCTAGGTCAACAAAAAAGGGTTTGAACATGTTAGGTGTTATAATTATATAAATCATACAAATTTTTTATTACCCATTATTTAATTAAGATATACTCTTATGATGACTTAAATGCTGCTTTATAGTATTGGTAGAATTTAAGTATTATTACATTCATTACATTTATTTTAACAGGTAAACCACACTTAGCACTGAAGTTGGCGTTGCTCTGTAACGATACCAATGCCATGGTGACAGCTGTGGAATCTCTCGGAGATCGCGTTGATCCTGAATTAGCGCACGCTCTCGCAACACACCTTCGGAAAGCGGATCATCATTCGCATGCAGCTGCTTTACTCGCCACTGCGGGAAAGGTATCAAATCCTATGCGTGCTTAACATAAAATTAATGACCATGTGCTATTATTAGTATGAATATATCGCTCGTTAGTTTGTTAAAGCTGCAGTCCAGTTTAGATAGGCCAGCATTGGTATCGTTCGCTTATCCGACCTTTGCGTAAAATAAATGGAATAGCTACTATTACTTCTGGACAGTAGAATTCTACCATATTTTGGGTAAAAGAAGATATATAAACCACAATCTTAAAGATAACGTTAGCAAAAAGTTGCTTTCATATTATAATACAGGCACTGTGGCGTATGTCAGAGCCATAATACGACGCCATAGTTGTTTTGCAGATTGAGTAATAAAAAGTGCCTTTACAACTTTCGACTATGAAACGTTTTTAGTACGAAGAAGCTCTTGATATTGTGGAGCAATCATCCGCGCCCCTTTCGGAAGATTTGAGTGAAAGATTGGCAGCTCCAGCTGGGACAACTGGTCGTGATGCACTTTTGCGACGCTTAGCAGACGTGCTTGGAGGTCGTGGCCTGTACCACCAAGCTGCTAAGAGACTTGCACATGCAGGTGACAAGGTAAAGTCTCTAAAGGGTCTAAAGACTTTCAGCATCTATTCCATGTAAAAACAGAACAATAGTAAATAAAAACAGATATAAACTTCAACATAATATTATTTTAAATAAATCTGCTCTATCAGCATTACGTGTTAGCTTGTATATTAATATGAAAGGTAACGAAATCAGGATTCCTGTTTTCATTGTTCCTTATGACGATTTTATTGAAACTTATTGCTTAAATAAACGCAGATTTTATAAACAGTTTAAGGAATCTGTTGCCGATATAGTCTTCTTATAATTCGCATAATTTCACATTTCGCAAATGGTCATATTTAGGCCCGTAGACGTAGAGGTGAACATCAGAGCAATACCGTATAAATCCAAACCTGAATTCTAATTCAATCAGGTCTACGAATTCACTTCGAAAGCGACATCCGCTTAACCTTGATTTGGTATTGACGTTTCGTGGTATAAGTGAAGTGAGTTTCGAAATGACAGGGATAAAATATTTGAGACACGGATAATCAATAAATCATCTTTTTTATTTTTATACAAAAATGGAATCAATAGAATTTCTATATTAAATGTCGTGAATTCGAACACATGAGTGAATTCGAATTCGGGTTCGGATTTTTACGCAATTGCTTTGCAGGTTTGTTTTAAATATTAAATTTTATCAGGCGGGTGCTATGCGCTGGTTAATGCGATCAGGTGATGCAGACCGTATCGCTACTTTCGCGGCGGCCACTCGAGACAGAAACGCTCAGCTTATGGCAGCGGACTATCTACGGAGACGAGCGGATTGGCGATCACGACCTGACCTAACCAGACATATATTGCATTTCTACACTAGAGCAAAGTCGTATGGAAAACTGGCAGCTTTTTATGCCGAATGTGCTAAAGTCGAAGTTGATGAATATGGCGTAAGTGGATATACGATATGCTTGTTTAAGTAAAGTTATTAGCAGTTACTTTTGTTGAATTAAGCATTGGCATTTAAAGACTACTACTTCGGATACCCAAGAGTGCGTAAGAAATCACTTAAGGCAAGTGTGCCTACTGACTCTCCTTCGTCATAAATATGATGGCGTTTTTGCGGGTATATAAGGAAATATGTATTTTTAAAGCAAGAAAAGTGTTTATTTTTCCGGAATATACTTTTATAGCTTATTAAAATCAACACTTGTTAGTACACTTGTTGTGTCAAGAAATGGAAAGATACAGGTGCCAATAGAAAATCAGCTTCAGGCTACCAGTCTGGCATATAAGGTGTACTTGTGAGATGGAATCGTAAATTATTATTTAATTATTAAATATGCAAAATGTAACCTAAAATTATATGTTATGCTTTAACCTGAATAAATCATTCATTCATAATAAAAAAGAACTATGATTTTTTTTTCAGAATTATGAAAAAGCCTTAGAAGCCTTGAAGGAAGCGTCACGGTGCCTCGCCAAATCCTCAGATTCTGAATCTGGTATGAATTTAAATTAAACTATATCTTTAAAGTAACCGTTTTCTTCGAGTTGCTACCACTCTTCCGCTTCCGCACTGCATGTCCAGGCAGACTTTCTGAGTATCGACAGCAACGCCATCACGTACATATCTGTCTGTGCCAGTCGCTATTATCGCTTCTGTTTTTTTTATTATTTATAGTTGTAATTTTTTTATATATTTAATTAAATTAAGCTTTATTGCACAAATTAAAATACACAAATGTAAAAATATAGTTGTTTAGTTAAGTGACGTGATCTTTACATAAACAAAGTAACTCCCAATTCGTCCTTAAGTGACGGAAAGTTGAGTAGAGTAAAATACTTTTATTATTTCTTTGTTGACGGTACCAGTTCACCTGTGACGTTATTTAGTAATGGCCGACGACGGCCAAATCAAAGCAAGCCGCAAGTATAAGTCAATTGATTAAAACTATTTATTACGTAAAATACTGGTCATTACACAATTACTTTTCAGGTGCGCAAACAATGGCACTCCAGGAGCAAAGCACTTTAATTAAACGTTTTATAGATGTTAAGAAGACATTGGAAGCTGGAGAAATTAATACAGGCAAGGCAAATAACAAAATATCTAAATACCTACCTCATAGTCCATGGAACAATTGCTTTTTTAAACCGGCGATTGTAAAACAGAGTTTTATGTTGGGCGTCATTTCCTATTTACCGAATGCTGAGAACTTAAGGTTTTCTTCTATGCTTATAAATGGCGATCGCGATACCTTGAAACATATTATAATTTAAACCATTTGTCTTTGACTTCGACCCCTTTCTTTGTTTTGTTTCTTAACCATTCAATTCGTCGTTCGATCAGAAAGTTTTAACGTTTTTGAAAGTTATGTATATCCATCTGTAATCCACTATTGCAATCGCTATACCTTCGAAAGTTACTGCGATAGATGTAAAATTAGATAATTCACCCCTTGGAAATTTGTGATTGTTATGGAACGCAATATTAAATTGATATTATTTGAAGGTGTAACCAGTGGCCAACAGTTGCTTCGTGCTGTGAGTGGTCGTCCTGGATTAATCACAGAAGAAAAAGTCCTCAAGCTGATGTTGCAGTATGCACCTGATCATCCAGAGGCTCCACGTAAAAATCAATTATTATTGTACTTGCGATTCTATCTGCCTCCTCATTTTGTAAAAGTTGCCGTAGGCCGAACGCGCTAGTCACTACATCATAGAGTTCTTACCCAATACCCATCGATATTAAAGGCCTAAAGTAATTGACCAGTTGGCTAAGACATACACATGACAGCCAAACTTATTGACCAGTTGGCTAAGACATACACGCTTCTGTCATATGGCCATACATATCGGTATCAATATAAAGCTCGACTTTGAAGCAATACAGTACTAACTACTAAAACGTATATATTTGAAAGCGGTGTTATACATTAGTTAACACTTAGTTAATATTATCATTTCTCTTACAGGTTTTGACCAACAATTGAAATCATTACAGAAATTATCGGAAGACGACAATGAAACCACAGAGTCTCCAGACCAGAGCATAGAAGAAGTAATTTAAATAATATGCCCTGTTGCATGCGTATATGAATTCGTTTTTATAATCAATACAATATTTTTTATTCTTAAAGCAAAATCATAGCCTTGTTACATTCGTCACAAAACAGTCGGTTTTGAAGTTAGTGAACATGTTGATGTATAATACTAATTGAACATATACAGGGAGCAACAAAATGACCGACACAGCCGAAAGTTTCAAGTTAGTTTATATGCAAACGTTCATTTTATTTGACAAATATTTCAAAATAGAGGAGGTGTAAAAATGGAGTGAAAATATTAAATTTCTAAGTGTTGAGAGCTCTATAACAACGGTCCGCGAAATACATTAATTTAATTTAATTATTTACCGATATCTTAATGATAGTCGATGCAGAAACCGGCTGTTAGTCTGTCAATCGATTTAAGCATTTTGACTGCCTTGTTAAGTGATTGTCTGGTAGAATTTGCATGAAAGCGGCCTTATAAATCATAAACTAGTTTATTTCGTGTTGAGAAATGAAGAATTCAAGGACCGCTTAAAAACTTGTTCCTTAGTACGTCCCAAAAACAGCTGACTCAAGGTTGAAAACACTTATTTTTTTCCAAAAACTTTGTAATTTAATATCTCCGAAACTATTTGACCTAGACATGTAATTTTTTTACATCATATTAAAGACAAATAGTTCTCTCCAGGAACCTCGGGAGTGTCGGTCGTTCTGTTCCACCCAGTATATTTAGCATTTTTATATTACCTAACGTTTTCTTAAATGTGCTACTGCCTCTAGCATTGTAGTTCTAGTATATTGAATAGGCAATAAATATTACATAAAGCTCGGCGCAGAGGACTCCACTAGCACACACAGGAAATATACCCGCGAGATGCGGTTAGATCTCATAAGTAATTTTAATCAATAATCTTATCCATTAATAAAATACCTATACTGTATTATTATAGCAACCCACGGCCAAAAATAATAAGATCTTATTGTGTTAAATAAATGTGTACACATATTCCAACATAATTTCTATTCCGTCCATTTTTATGACTAAGGATTAAGTACTTAATAAATCAAGTAGTAAACAAGAGCAGTTTATTTATTTAATAACAGTGTTCGACAAAATTTATTTGCAATTAACAATTGTTAACCACTGCACGGGGATGTAAAAGAGCTGAAGATGATAAATAATATATCAGAGACTAAAATTTAATGACGAAATTAATTTCATAGCAATTTTGGCGAACACGGTACTTCAAATTGATATTACTTTTTTATTCGATTGAAATAAAACACACTAAATGTTAACGAAAGGTTACCACAATACAATAGTGAAATCTGCATTAAAATCGGTTCACCCGTTCTTGCGATTAGCGTGCACAAACGAACAGATAAACAGACAAAAAAAAAATAAAAATCATTACGTTTATAAATGCCTCTCATTTTTTTTCATATATCTTCAATGTACAGACATCGATCGGTTACGTTTTCATTGTAGTATAAATAACTAGTACTAGGACCTACAACACTAGCCGTAGTTAATTTAATAGAATTTAGCAGTAAGTTGACTTCGACATCCTCTCAATTCCTCAAACACACATACAGGACACTACACAAAATACATAACATAAACACACAAAAACAAACAAAACTTACCACACGCTGACAACAGCAACTCCGCGATACAGGAATTGCACCTGAAACAAAAAACACAATAAATACATACCACTGTACCCCAAACCAAACTGAAAAACAGACAAAATGTATAAAATCCCGACGACAACATCTACAAAAAGTGCAAAGCAGTGAGAATCCCCCCCCCCCCCCCTTCAATCACCATCTGGAGTAATACCAGCGGCCAAAACAACACAAGATGCAGGAAGAACATCATGGACATAAATTACAAACGCGGAATATCAGGGCTGGGGGAAAAACAACAACACAAATCCTCTAAGAACTCATGGGACTGATGGAGGGGATCCCAGAAAGCATATAATGTCCAGATGCGCCGCGACATCAAGCAGCACTTAAAAAAGACAGCAGATAGCGGACTCGCAATGCTGTTCGAGTTGGGGAAAATATATATGGCAGGCCATGAAGAAATCAAGAAAAAGTAGAAGAACAAGGAGAGGGAAAATTGGAAGAACAGAAAAGAGAAATGAGGAGAAATATGGAGGAATAGAGAGTGGGAAGGGGAGGGAAGAGAGGGAGAATGAAAAGGAAGAAGAACAAGGAAAAAAGAAATAAATGAAAATTGAAGAACAAATAGAGGCACGATTAAAAATATACATGAAAAAGTTGAAATAATAGGCAAAAATACCAGGAGAAGTAACGGATAATGTAATGGAAAAGTTGATGTTGGATGAAACTAGGAATGAAAAGAGAGAAAACGCAAATCAAAGAAGTCATCAAATAACTGCCTATCACCAAACCAGCCACCCAAGGCAAAAAACACCAAAAAATATTCACTTTGCATTTTATAGCATTGTCCTCGGAGGATCAAATGGACACAGCAGAAATGGTCATAGAAAATCCTTAAACCTGACCAACAAAAGATTAGAATTGACCATATAAGAAGGGGGGAAGGACCTAAAGGTGATCATAAGGTGCAAAGAAAAAGCGGAAACTTGGGAACTGGAAAAGAAGCTAGAATCGGGTGAAGGAATAAGAGTAGAACAAGTTCAGAATAAAGACCCTCTAGTAATATTAAAAAACGTTCTGTACAAAAGACGGACGAGGAAATCATCACGACTATACCGGTAAATTAGTGGCGTGTGCGAGTACACACGCCACTCGCGAAACCGTAAATAAACACACTTCATAATTTAAAATATATTTAATTTAGAAAAAAATATTTATTATTAAAGATATATGGCTCTGCAATAAATCGGTCGAATTAAATACATGCAATTTATGCGACGATCGATTCGATATCGGTCGAATTGCATCGAGCTGTGAGTAAAGAGTATAAGTTAAGCCTAATTACATAAACCAACTTCCACTGCAATCCCCATCAAAATCGGTGAAGCCGTTTCAGAGTTTAGCTGGAACAAACAGACAGATGGGCAAAAAATGTAAAAAAAAAATGTTTATGTAATGTGTATACATACAAATGTATTTAGTGAAAAACGGTGATCTTAATACCACGAAAATGCACTCCAATTTCATTTATTTGTATAAGTGTTGGGTTGATTAGAGTGAAATTAAAAAATCTCAGTTAAGATGTAATAGGGCTCCTAATATAGGTTCCCTGTTACCGAAATAGTTGGTCGATATATTATTACAAGGACAGTGGCGTAGCGTGCTTTGTCAGGGCCCTGTATAAAATTTTGTTTGGGGCCCTTATGAAGGGTAAAGAGAAAAAATAAATTTTAATTGTATCTAAATCGATTATTGTGGGAATCCCCTGTTACAGTAAATGACTTAATCTGAGAAATCCCAACAACCCGCGAAAAACGCTGTAAGGCCAACTTTCAAACGCACGCTTTTACGCGGGAATAAGAAATTGATTTTTTTTACTTTTGTCATTTCTGAAATGAAATTTTTATAAATTTTTGCTTACGCACGTTGGGGGCCACCATAGCCCGGGGGCCCCGTATAATTGGTAGGGCAGATACGGTGGTAGCTACGTCCCTGTACAAGGAGCACTTAGAAACACACTGATTAAATAAAAATAATAAAATTGTAAATCGAATAACCGGCTCGATAAAGTTACCCCGAATACTATTCGGTATTCGGTTATTCGATGAAACCACTATTCGGTGCATCTCTGTATTGTAATAAATATAATAGATATTATTAAACATACTGCGAGAATAAATCGTTCACGCGTCCATTACATTACGTCCATCACGCGTAATACTGCCCGAGTGCCCGCTCGGCGTCGGGCGCTAATGATCGTTGCGCGTTAACATGCTAAATTTTTAACGCCTTAGCGCGTGTACTTACTTAACGACGTTAAGCGCTAAATACAATTAGCGTGTTAAATTAACACAATTCTGTGCATGTCAAATACTCAAATGTCATGTCATGCTGAATGGCTTAGCAAAAAAAAATAATTTATATTGTACATAAAATCATTTATTGTAGGCATATTATGATAAGTACCTAGAATACTAGATAAAATGGTAATACTAATAAAAAATATTTATATGTTCAAAAAATATTATGCACATAAAGCAACAAGATGTTTACAAAGGTAACCAACGAATATACTCGTAACTAATGCAATAAATAAAAGCAATTCCCCTTAGCTAAGGGTTTCTTTGAGTTTCAGATTCATAATAAAACATAATATTAGCTCTGAATCAAGTAATAAAGTAATTGAAAAGGAGAAAATCAGAAACTTTAGTATAGTGGCACATGTAGACCACGGAAAAAGTACTCTCGCAGACAGATTGTTAGAACTTACCGGCGTAATAAAACCTGGCGCCGAACAAAGTCAAGTTCTCGATCAGCTACAGGTAAACTTAGCAAGAAAAACAATAGGTTAACTCGCTCTAAAATCAAATTTTAAATAGAAGGGCATCTGTATAATTTCATCATGTTGCATATTATCTAACTTCATTTCAGGTTGAGAGAGAAAGGGGTATTACAGTGAAAGCAGTTACAGCATCACTAAACTATACATATGAAAATGAAACATATTTATTAAATTTAATAGATACTCCTGGTCATGTTGACTTTTCTAATGAGGTAACTAACAAAATAAAAATAATACACTGTAATATTTTATAGAGGTGTCATTTTTAATCTTTCTTGAATGGGTTAATAGTTTGGAATATGTTGGTAAATAGAAACATGGTATATTTTATATAGTAGTGTAACTAGGTCTTCCTAGATAGATAGGATTTTTTATTGTAAAAAGTTTTATTATGACAACACTCAGCACTTTCCACACCAGTGCTTTTATACCACTTAAAAGATTTTTGTAATATTATAAGTAGAAATTTGTATGTTATATTCTTCAATAAATACATATTTGTGTAAATTTCCAGGTTGTTCGCAGTATAACAGCATGTCAAGGTGTAATACTTCTAGTTGATGCTAATGAAGGTGTACAAGCTCAAACAGTAGCAGTACATTCATTAGCCAAAAGAAATAATTTGACCATAATACCTACTCTGAATAAAGTGGATTTACCCAGAGCAAATCCTGATAGAGTCAAAACACAATTGAATTCTTTGTTTCATATTGAACCTGAAACAGTTCTTAGTGTATCTGCAAAAAAAGGATGGGGTGTAAAGGAACTATTAGAAGCTGTTATAAAGAGAATTCCACCACCCCCTGTATCATCAGACAGCCATTTTAGAGCCCATATTATAGATACATGGCATGATAAGTATAGGGGTGTGTTATGTTTAGCTTATATTCATTCTGGAAATATTCAAATTGGGCAATCAGTAAGATGGATGTCAGATTCAAAACAACAAACAGTGAAATATTTAGCACTTTTGAGACCAAAAGAAGAGCCTATAGATGAAGCGACTGCTGGTCAGGTTGTAATGGTGGGTGAGTGATTTAGCTAATAAACTTTTTTAAATTTTACAAAAAAGGTCCTTTAATATACATATATTGATGCTATAAAACAAACACATTTCATATTTACTTGATGAGATTTTATATAATTCGATTTCTTATGATGAAGCCACTGTCTAGTTGGTTGCCTATCAAAATTAATACATAAATGTAGAAGAAATTTAGATATTGCGTACAGCAAATTATGGCTATATAATAAATAACTATTTCTGAAGGATTGCAAGCACTCTCTTTAAAATCATTACATGTATTATTTAAGATGCATTATATGAATCTTATTTTATAGGCTGCGGTCCTAAGGGTGGTGGGAGTGTTGGTGACCAGTTAGTGTCAATAGAATTTCCTACAACGGAAATAAATTCAAGCACCACTCCTGTGAGACACATGGTGTATGCGGGTGTTTTTTCTGCAGATAAATCTCAACATACACTTCTCGGTGAAGCAATCAAGAAACTCGCTCTGAATGACTCTGCTGTCAGTGTCAAACCTGACTCCAGGTATAAAATTTAATTGTTTAAACATCGCAATGAAAATAAATGAATTTATTTACAATTCTTTAATGTTAATCATTCAGCAGTCATAATTTTATGAAGCTTATTATATTATGTACAGTTGTACTAAAGTACTAAAAGGTGATCCAACCGGTAATCAATGCTGTAACTTCAGACATAGTCTGTGTTTTTAAATAGCTTTCCTGTTAGCATTATATAATAACATCACATCTATCAATATTTGAAGAATTGAAGCTCTTTTAAAGAATTATAAAGTCAAGGAAAGGAGAAACATATGTTATGAAATACCTTAATAACTAGCGCGCTCGTTCTCTATTCCTAACCTGCAAAATATAGCGTAAAAGTGCGGGTAAACTGAATTATAGAGTAATTACTTATATTGCAGCCCAGCTTTAGGGCAAGGATGGAGAGTTGGCTTTTTAGGCCTTTTACATCTTGATGTTTTCACTCAACGTCTTTTGCAAGAGTATAAAGCCGAAGCTATATTGACTGCTCCCTCAGTACCTTATAAAATTAAGTAAGTAAATATTAAAAATCTATATCCATTTTTGATATATTCATTTAGCTTAACATTATAAAATAGATACAGAATAATATTATATATATATCAATTAAATGAGATCCTAATAAAAATGTACAGTATAAAATTCTAAAGCATGAGTTAAAAAAATGTGTCTCATTAATAGGGTGAAAGGTGCCAAGTTGATCAAACATTACAAAGGAGATGAAATAATTATCACAAACCCTTTACAGTTGCCAGACCCACATAATATTGCTGAGTATTATGAACCATTTGTGAAAGGTATGTTGTAGTATAGTGTAGTATCTATGCAGTAGTTATCAAAACATCCATACATTATTGTAATTAAACAGACTTAATATTCATTATATAGTCCTGCAAATTGCTAATGCGCCGGAACCTTGTCTAAATAACACCCGCGTGACGTCATTTGGAGATAGAAAGTTTGTATCTCGATATTTGTATTCTTTCACGTCAAACGAAACATCAATCAGAGCACCTGACGTCATTTGTTTGTAAATAGGCTATTTGACACTATTGAAAATAACTTGCATGTTGTGATCTTCCATGGGTCTTCCTGTTAGATAATAATCTAATAAAGTTTATTTTTTAGAATCTGCAAACAAAAATGTGTTTACTGGCGTATGACGTCACTCGTATACAGAAAACTGTCATGTCAAAACAGTGTTACTAAAGATAGCTAAATTTGTAATTTTTTAAACAAAACCAAAGAAGACACAAATGCAAATCATAAAATTGAACTTAAAACATAAAACTAAAATTCTCCAATACTATGTGTTTACTTCGTAAAAAATTGGTTATGTCGCCTTGACATTATTTACTGGCGGATGGCATGACAAATACCACGTGATTAGCATCATTAGTTTACGTAGAACAGCGATTTTTGCCCGATTTTTAGCTATTAAAAATATATTGATAGTGTGTGTGTGTGTTTGTAATGTATCAAACAACGATTTAAAATAACTTTCAGAAAAATGACGAATACCCTATTGATAGTAAAACTATCTAGTTAAAGCGCGTGAAACATGAGCGTAAGAGTAATTTTTATGTTTTATTTATTAAAACAACATATGTTGTAATTTTAATGTATGGAAGGATTTTTTTACACATAATCATTGTTTTTAGGTACAATAATAACGCCCGTTGAATACATCGGTGCAGTAACAACTCTTTGCATAGACAGACGAGGCAGCCCCCTCCCGTCTAGCGTAGTAGACGAAAACAATACTATGATGCAATTCATACTGCCATTATCAGAAATAGTAGTAGATTTCCACGACACACTCAAAAGTATAACTGCAGGATTTGCAAGCTTCGATTATGAAGATTATGGATTCCACAAAAGTGTATTAGTGCGAGTAAGATTCTTAACACTGAAAATTATGATTTCATTCTGACTTTATAGCTTTTGTTTTTATAAATTATTATATCAATTTAAATTGTAGTAGTCTAAAAATTACGTTTTGATATAATTATAACTCCTGTTATATATTTAAATAGATAACAGGAGTATAATTATATTTTTTTGATAATGTAAGGGTATAACTTTAAAACAAAGCCAAATTAAAATTAGTTTTAGCTTAGTTTATTTAAGCAACGTAAATAAAATAAAATTAAGTATAAAAATGTATTTGTGAAAAGATATGATTTTTCTTCTACTTAAATAATTACATATAAAGTTATAATATGAATATAGCAATTGTTTATTTATTCGCTTTACAGATGGATATTCTTCTAAACGGCACACTAGTAGAAGAATTATCTACGATAGTACACGTTAGTCGATTAGAGTATAGTGCAAGACGACTTACAGAGAAACTAAAAGAAATGATACCTCGACAAATGGTCCAGGTATTAATTTTATCTAATGTAATAATCATGTAATAATTCCTAATTTAATAATTGAACAGGCTAACAATGATAAAACAGATGTTAACACACACAGTTTTTTCTTTTTGGTATTTTTCAACTTACACAAGTGTGCGTTTGAAAATTAATTTATCAATATTGACTCCCGTGGGAGATGCAATATACTGACGATCTTATGAGATAAAATGCCGTCTTTATTTTTTCACTGCAAGAGCGGTCTACATTTGTCAACAAACCGTTCTGAATTTTACTGGACATATATTTATTGAGCCATGAGAATAGATTTAATAAATTTTTCTTCAAATTGTTGCAGATTGCTATCCAAGCGGTAGTGTCCGGAAAGGTATATTCCAGGGAAACTATAAAAGCTTACAGAAAGGATGTTACCGCTAAATTGGTAAGTTACTCACACTTACTATAAGCTAGGAAATAATTTCTTTCTACAAAACGAATGGAAAGTCGGGGCTTTAGTGTGAGAGGCCAGCAAGCCAATTCTGCTAATGTTTACGCGATAACGCATCTGAATAGAATGTCAATGACTTGCATTTTACCATTGTAGGACCTATAATTATAATAGTTATTAATTCATACTATTTTTGAACAGTACATGAATTTGCCAAATTAAACATAACAAGGCAGTACAGCAGCGGTCTTATCGCTAAAAGCTAAAATTTCCACCAGACAACCTAAAGCCAATAATATAGCGCAATGTCTTCCACTCATATCAATGGTGACAGATACCTATAATATTATTGGACTTCAGGTAGATAGTACATGGCAAAATGCAACTAGTTGAAATTCTATTGAGTGCCATTATTACGTAAACATTATCAGATTTGGTTATTAGACCTGCTGGACGTGTGACGATGTGTTGTTCTGAGTATTAAGATCAAACGAATATTTTTTTTATGAATTTGTTAGAATTAAATTCATGAAGATTATCTGGGTATCAGAGGCAGTGTCAGGTCTTACCTCCGTTCTTATCATAAATTATTAAATATTTATTTTATGTCGTATTAGCGTCTTGTAATTAGACAAAATTTCGTTTTCGGGGAAATAGAGAAGACCTTTTCGGTAAACTCATGTTTGTATTCTGTCGAATTAAATATATCCAGTTCTATTACATAATTACTACACTATTTTCAGCAGCAAAATTTTAAAGTATTAGTTCGGAACTGATAAGTATAATGAGCATACCCGTTGATCTCTAATGAATACAATTTTTCATTTATAGTACGGAGGCGACGTCACGAGACGAAAGAAATTGCTAAAGCAACAAGCAGAAGGAAAGAAGAAAATGCGAAGTGTAGCTAACATCAAAATACCAAGGAATACATTCATAGATGTTCTGAAAAGATAAAATAAAAAAGTCCTATAATTTTGATTTATGTTGACAGTTTTTTTGGAACGACAATCTTGCAAGAATTAACTAGACATGTGACACTGCTTAGCCGGTGTCTCTATCGAAAAGAATTAAAATATGATAATATATATTAGAGATGCACCGAATAGTGGTTCCACCGAATAATAATACTAATAGGGATGATGACTGGGTAAAAAAATGCAATTCTATTTAGTCCGTCAGTCCGTCAGTTAAGGGGGAGGAAGTGGGTCGACGAAGTGTGACATTTTGTGACAAGGGGGTGGGAGGGTCCTAAATTTCATGACGTCACATTTCAAAATCTATTATAATTTAAATGTTAAAACACGAACTTTAAACTATAACTTTACAAAAACTTTGCCAAATATCCCAGATAACATGACAACTTGCAGCAAGTTTAAATCAAACTTTCTAGTTTCAGGGTGACAAACTCGCACTACCTTTGATACGGTAGTAGTGATAATTTCCCAGATAGCATGGAAACTTGGGGCAAGTTTGATTTTCTTTGATTCTTAACCCAGTCATCATCCCTATTTTCTAATTTAAAAGTCTATCGCAATAATTTTGGAATTATTCAAGTCAAGTACTCGAGTACCTGCTTGGCATTCCAGTCAGTACCTAGAAAAAATATCATTATAACCGTATCAAAGGTAGTGCAAGTTTGTCACCCTGAAACTAGCAAGTTTGATGTAAACTTGCTGCAAGTTGCCAATTTTAAATTGCTATCTGGGATGTGACAACACACTAGGAGGGGAGAGTCTTACAAATGTGACCAGCTGTGACTAGGACGGGGGGACGAAAAGATCATGAAAATCGTGTGACGTAATTTATGGATGGTCCCAAATAAAATGACAGTATCGTCAGCAAACATAAACATCCGCATTAGACAGTTTAATTTAACATAAGTCAATTATGTATATTAAAAATAGATTAGGTCCAAGAATACTGCCTTGAGGAACTCCATAACTGCAAAAAGCTGGTCCGCTTAGGAGTTATTCAACGCGTAATTTTTTTTTCCAATTTTATGTTAGAGTGGAAAATAGGTAAATTGGCATATAATTGTTATAATTGAATAGAACTCGCAATTGCTTGCTTCAACGAGTTTCTAAAAATTCCTGATTCGAAACTTTGGTTACACAAATGGGCTATTGGTCCACATATGTAATAACTAGAAAATTAAAAAAACAAGGCAGATACGTTATCCCAGTGCACTCCCTGTTTTTAAATTTTGAATAAAGTTCCTCACTTCTAAATCGGTCATAAATAGAGACATTGAGGCTATATACTAGGCCTTCTTTAGCTATAAGTATAGCTAAGACTGACTAATTTTTATTTAGTTTCAGAAGAGTGGTGTTAGCCAAGTCACTACCTATGTATAGTTGAGAAATACTTAATTACGTCATTAAGAACCGCTGATGGTGTATTATTATTTTGAAGCAATCGTATTTGATTTAAATTACAGATTTATTTAATTAGATTCCAAGTTTCTGTAATATTACCCTAATACACAATATCCCTTATACATTATCGGGCATTATATTAATATTGATATCTTCTATTAGAACAACATTACTGGTGTTGATGTTACATAGTATGTAATGAATAACATTTATAAATTTAGTAGAATTTTATTATTTACTGTTTATATTTAGAACCAGATAAATCCCTTCATCATGCTGGGGCTCATAGCAAGTAGCAGTTAAAGTATTTTTAACGGAAATAATTACCCATAATACCATATTACAATTTCAAGTTAATCGTTAATTATGTAATTTGGCTATTCTCGCTATAGAAAATTCTATGGCCCTATTTTTAAACCTTGATGATGTTAAAAACACATTTGCAGAACAGAAAACTTCAAGAAAATATTTTTCTCAATAAACATATTATTGAAATTAAATTGTTATTCCTATTTCATTGGAAATGTACGCATGTTTCCTCACAATGTTGTTCCTTCATCGAAAAGCTAGTGAATGGAAGATGAATATGAAATCTACAATCCGCATTGGGCTAGGTTGTGAGGACTATAGCCTATTCCCTCTCGCCTAAGAAAGCAGACCTTTTTTCGATGGGAAATGCATTTACGCATACTCTCTACCGTAAGGCGAGAGGGTTATGTGAGACTCGCAAAAACTTCGAACTACCCATATAATCCAGGTCGTGTTAAGTGAGGCACGCTTGGGATTGCTTTTAGATTCATCCAAGCACTAAGAGGAGACCTCTGCCCAGCAGTGGGACTTCAATATATAGGCTAATGAATGTGGACGAATGTAAATGTATAAACCTATGCTTTTGAAAATAAAATTGTTATTAGTGTTGGATAACTACATCTGGTTTATTAAATTAAACTAAGTAGGTACAATATGATTTGGGATAGCATGATGAGCCCCAAATGGTATAGTTACGCCACTGAATCTATATCAATGTTTATTTGAGAGAGAAATACATCCATATTACAATTTATATTCAATTGTTTATTGTTACGATGTGGTTACGATACATAAATAGGTTATCCACTGAGTTTAAGTCATGGGTTAAGGATTGTTGAACAGAGAGTAGTGTGTAATTTAACACAAGATACATCAAAGGGATTATCTAGTTCTTCAGATATTTCTTGGTCAACTAAATTAAATTTTAAAACTAAATACTATACTAATAACGATGGGCACATTCATTTCCGTGTAGTTGTGGCGTGACTGGTGAGTTTTGAGTGTTAGATATGAAGTGCCTAATGAATTGAGCAGAGTTCATTGACTTTGTTTTTTTTTGTAAATAAAAAGGCATATTGCCTGGCTGTGTGTATACATATTGTCTAAGACTGGTTCTCCTTTCCTTAAATACGAGTAGTCAATCATGGGGATTCAGTGGCCTTAAATCAGAATCGTTGTCAAAACGTATTAATGGAGCTCATCTTTGCGTAGAAATATTTTGCCATAAGAGGTCCAACAGTAGTTAAAGCTTTGTTGGGAGTTAAGCTAAGCCGTAACTAAAAAGAGCAGCCTTTTAGCTCTTGGAGTAAGATTCTTAGAAATACATATAGGAGTAGTGGGGCAGTTGATGGATAAATGTTCAGTATTATGCTTTTTATTTTCTCTGCTGTACTTTTTCAATGCTTTAAGAATATTCTGTATGACTGTAGTAAACTCAACAGTAATGGGTTTATTTCCCACTTTTGCATTAGTACGAAAACATTCCCCATTTCATTTTGTTGTATTGGCGAGGTGGTATACCTCGCCATTGTCGCCCTAGTATACCATACTCCATTTTCACGTACAGTACACCGTAGCAATACCTTTCTTATTCACGTATCTAAATTAGTTAATGCTACCAATAAGGGTCAAATTACCACACTGGACATATTCTGGAACAGCTTGTCATACATAAACGAAATTATAGCAAACACTCATAGTGCCATTGATTAATTCTTATTGATAGGCTCATTACTATTGTTTGATGTTCTCTATTTTAGTGATCTAGACTTTTTGTTTTTGCACTTCAATGTATTAAATTTACATTGTACTTTACTGAGGTCAGAGATATTTGTTTATCATTAAATTTACCGCCATCTGTGGAGACTTGTCATTTGCTCTTATCAAATAGTTTGTAAGGTACTTTGTAATTCAAGCAGTTAGCCACCCAAATAAAATAAAATTGTAGAAGGATATCTCTTCCTCGCAACCTTGGTATAATATGGTAGTGGGTGGTGTAGTTACCCACATTACATAACTTCATAAAAGTACTGTTTTGGATAGTTCATTTAATGGAAAATATCGTCCATCAAGGGTTAAAAGTAAAGATTATTTTTAGTCTACTCTAGAGGTGCAAACTAGTATCCTCGTGCGCCTGACATAAATGAAATGCGGAACGCATTAATAACTTCCAAAGCAACTATCTGTAATTCGTTCAATATTTAATAGAGATTTGGGGGGGGTTGGTTAGTTATTTTACGATATATCAATATTTTCTGAATCCACACTGAACGTTGCTTTACTATCTGGCGCATGCCATGCGAGTTTATTGATAGGGGCGGGCCGTCTTTTATAATAATTTAATATCTTACAATAAATAAAGTACTTGGTAAAAAGAAAATTGTAAATAAAAGTTGTTTTTAAAAATAGACATTTATTAAAATTGCCGATTATATAAATTAGGATTCCTGTATGCTCAATATCACAAAAGGCTACAAACTTCATATAAAGCAAACTAATGTATAATGTTCTTAACACAAAAATAGTCAAATGAATCATGCACTCTCATTCAAGAGTTACACAACGTACCTACGTAAGACATAATACTTAAAAAATGTAATTCAATTATGATAAAATGTATAAAATCTACAATCTAACTAGTCATGTATTATATGGTCGGCTACTAAAGAACTATTGCTGTCATTCATACCTAAGGTTTTAGATAATGATATGGCTCTAGTTCTTACATTACTGAACAGTAACAACTGTATCTAATAGAAAAAATAATTATATCTATGTAACTTATAGCTTGTAAGCGACTTAAGTTTTAAACCCGGGGTCCTCACCTCTTGTATAATCCTCTTATTTTACTGAAACCATAGTTTATAAAAAGAAAAACTCGAAGAGCATACAAAGATGGTAACTAGAGAGGAGTTTCCTTTCCGCTAAGCTTTAGTCTTTACTCTGTCGTCTTAAGGCAACTAGCCTCTAATTAGGTTTGTTTTGAGTCATTTCACAATAATAACAGTTATGCCGATAAGCAGGTTCAGATTTCGATTACCATATGTTGACTCGCGTCCAAAGATCTGAACAAAATAATAGATGCACTGGCTAAATTAATGTAGCATAAAAATACACATTGTATATTCTAAAATTATATCACTAATCTCTAAGTATACAATGAAAGTAAACAAATTTAATATAAATGATTACGATACTGTTATTGAGAAAGACTGTATATCCATTTTATTTCCATTAAAAAGTTAATTTACATTAAATTATATCTTTGGCGAATTTTATATTTCTTGGAGATTTATTTTTACTTTAAGAAAAGTTTAAGTTGTAAAGCACATTACTACTTTTTAGCAGGGTTTTATTAATTTTCATTAATTATATCGCATCTCTAGTGCAACTGTGAAACACTGTCATTATTTCGAAAAAGCATTTCTTTTCCAGATGAGATTTAGTGCCTTAAAACATCTTGACAATATCTGATTAGATAAAATCAATAACATATATTCTTACTCGATGTTTTAATGTGTGTAGTTTCCCTCAATAGTGAAGTGATGGCACTAATTTAAAATAAAGGTAATTGTAACCGAAAATTTTACTACAGACAAATAATCTCATTGCATAGTTTTTGTATCGTTATAAGAAGTTAAAAGATTAGATAATTGCTCCAGAATCAAATAAAATCAAATGTCACAATTACTTTAATAACGCAAGCATTCCAGCACTTTAGGACGGACTGATGTTTTTGTAGTCTGCTTTATTCGCATCCCACCTAAGTCACGACACATCCATCTCGTTTGAAAATTCACACTCTTATCTATAGTCGAGTAAAAGTAATTACTTGAGTAAAGGTAATAACTTAGACAAATATTTTTAATCAATAGACGAGAATTTAAATGATGTAAGAACTGTCAATAAGTAATAAGAATAATATTGTAACTTTTGAGAGTTCTTTTGCGACTTCATTCAAATTCTTTTTAATTGTTAAAAAATATTTTCAGTTATTACTTTTACTCAAATGATTACTTCTACGCAATTACAGATTCGAGTGTTACTATAATGCCTGGCACGCAAGTTAAACATAAATACCAAAATGGCGGCGCACATTTCAGGTCTCAATCGAGGCGCGGGGTGAGACGCGGCACGTAACCATGGCGACGCATTATAGTGCTTTGGGATAATCATGAAAGCGGGGAAATTTCGAAAATGACATTAAACAAGCGATATGTTATTTCTAATTATTTTGTTTTTCTATCTATTAAGTTTATTTGCCAATTTTATCAACAGTTCATTTCATCATTACCCCAAAACCTCTTATACTGGATACATGAACCTGTGCGGGAAATCGCCATTTTGGTTCAACTCACGTACCGAGCATTATACTATACTATCGCAACAAGTGAAGGTGCTTCAGATGGCTTAATTCACGTTTTTCTTTTTAATTTCCGAATATTGCATAATTACACTGGAGGTGCGATATTTACTTTGATTTTTTCATGACTTAATAATTTGTTATTCATCTTAATTTTGTTTGGTTACGACGTTTTTTAAAATAAGAAACTGTCACAGGAACGGACAGTCCGTGCCATGACGCTGAGCGCGATTATGTATAAACAAAGTACTTTGTTTTCTCTACTGCATAAGTTCAACGACGCTTTGTTTAAATAGGAGCTTCATTCATGGTGCGCTCTGTACCAATCCAACTGAGTATGCTATAAAAGTTGAGAAGAAAACTATACTGTGCTATTTTTCTTAGACACCTTATACTTACGCCTCCAGGATATAAATCTAAATGTCGTTATGGTCACAATTATTTGTTGTTGTCATACTTTAATTTCTAAATTAAAATAAGTCAGCATTTTCATTCTAATCAAAACTTAACAAAGCCAATTACAACTTAAAAACAAATTTAGAATTTAAAAAATGACACGTCTAAAGGTTCAGTTAAACTGACATATTATAATCTATATAAACATTAAGAATTCTTATTGACAGCAACATTAATTCTAAATAATTTCAATATAAAGTTATAAAATTTTTTGTTTCATCACAATATCATCTGTAACAAGTATAATACACCTCTTTTGTAATGTAATAGGTAACTGTTGTCTTTATTTTTGCTAGTGACAAGGACAACAGATCCCATTTATATCTCCCACCCTAACCACAATATAAATATATGCAAAAAAATGTCTTGAGTACTTTGTTAATTTATGATTACTTTGCGAATAATTTAATATAGTGTGTACTAAATTGTAGTTAGGATGAGGAATGCTGCGCAACACCCAAATGTCAATATTATATTAGAAATTAGCATGTAAGTCCAAAATTCGTCAACTAATTTTCTAAATATTATTCCCTATAGAGGAGTCGTCATATTTATCTATCTTCAGAAGTTTCCAGAAACTGAGCATAGACATCTCTGGTACATTCACCTTTTTCATTGAATTTATATTTGTAGTAGGATCCATCAGCGCAAACGACTGAAAATATTAAAATACATTTGTAATACATATATGGTATATATAGGAATTCTTATGATTATAGGAAATTTTTTTAAAGCTGTTAAATGAAGCAAAATTAGATATATGGTTATCATGTTTCTATTATTATACTTCATTGGTTTTATGTAACTTGAAATTAATTTCAATTGGTACATATTTTAGATATTTACACAAAAAAAAAAGATTGGAATTATAGAATTGTACACCTACCAATAATAGAGCTTTTATCAACTCCGAATGCACAGATACATGGTGGACCATTAGGTATGGTGAATTTGCAGAAACTCCAGTTGCTTGAAAAATATTTTGGTAAAAAGTTTACAGTTGCCAAGCTAGACTGTTTATTAAGTTTCTCATCTTCAAGGCTAAATACGTGCACTGTCCCATGATCTGAAGTAACACACAGATTTGTGCTGCTATGGTTGAAGTTGATGCAATATATTGTTGCCTGAAACAATGTTCATAATTACTAACTAGCTGATTGATGAAAGGATCGGTATTTTCCAAGATTACAAAATATAAAAATCAAAGAAATTAAAAACTTTACCTATTCAAATTAGTATAGATATCTTTATTGCTTTGACATAGCTTAAAGTTTTGTTCAGTGCCTTCACCATTATATAGCCTAAATATTAAAATAAGTGTACCTACTGTAATTTTATTAAATATGTATACATATCACATATTATGATTAAAATTTTAATACGAGCTTAACAAAATGTAGGTAGATCAATAAAAAATAGTCTTGTTAATCACCCACAACATTTGTTACAGAAACTTTTATCTCCTTTACCTTTATAATAGTTAAATTACTGTTACTTCTGTTATCAGTTACTGTTTATTCGATATCTTTGTTTCTTTCTTCAAAATCAACTTGATATTAGTGACTTTTGTTTAGATGTTGTATCTCTGATTGTATTTATTATTTCCTGAGATTTAAAATATTGATTTTTTTTCTGCTTACAGTTGAAATATTAACCTTTACATACATCACATAATATTAAATAGATCAGATTTTACAGGAAATTACTAGCTTTAGTTAAGGGATGGTTTAATTTGCATAAAATTATATTACAATTGATATACTTAATTATGAAAACAATTAATCTAGATCAAAATTGTGTAATTATTATTATGACTGACATTTGCATGCTATTCATATATAAATAATATATTTAAATAATTTAGTTAACTTGACCATCTACTTTTTATAAACTACCCTATTTACAGAAAATAAAAATACTATTATGTCTACCTGATTTGCTCCTCTTCTTAGCTCAGCTAATTTCTGACCAGTTGATGTATCAAATACTCTTATAAGAGTGCCTTTTGTGGATGCTGTTGCGAGTCGAGTACCTCCTACATTAAGGGAAAGGCATCCCAGGGGTGCTTCATGTGCTGCTATGAGATGCCCTTCTGGGGCAGAACTGCTTCCAGCATGACTACTTAATTCAACCAACTAAAACAGAATAAGTAATTAGTAGCTGTATCACCTTCCCAATATTTTATTTGCAGATTACCGAAGTTTTACTTACTTGTACATGTCCAGTTTTACGGCTAGGATATGCAAGTAAAGCATTGTTACTGTTAGGGCAAACCACACATAGGCCACGAGGATTGTGACAAGTTTCAAATACATGCAACATCTGAGGCTGAGCAGTGAATGTATAAACTTTTATCAAGTTTTCTGAAATAATTAAAGCTATATGAATGCTCAATCAAATATACATATTAAAATAAACTAAATGATAAATCATTTATATTACCCAGAACAACTACGATTCTATCCCTTCTGAGTTTTACAGCTTTTACTGGACTATTGAAATCAAGAGATATGGCAGAGTCCTTTTTCAAATCATCCCATATTATTACCCTGTTAGGTGGATAAACAGGTGTCTTTCCCCCTCCGACTAGGGCCATGTAGTTGCACCTGAACAACATTTCAACATAAGACAAGCCACCTTCTGCAAAATTTTGTCTTTCTTTTTCTTTCAATGGATCACTGTTAAATACTCGAAACCCATTTTCAGTTCCGCAAGCGAAACAACCTAAAAAAAAGGCGCAAGAAAGAAATTAGGTAGATAACAGTAAATGTTTTCAGGCACGTAAAAACAGTGTAAAAAATACCTTCAGATTGCATCAAATATTTACCTTGATCTTGATTAAAACCTACGTACAATAAGCCATTGCCAAAACTACTTTCTTCCGACAAATTCATCGTTACGAATCATAAACTAAATTAAGGCAAACAATATTAGCAATACAATTTTATAATTAAAATTACTGGTATGTGAAGTTAAAAGCAGTAGTTAACGTAATGTAGGTACACAACTTTCGTATCGGCAGATTGACAGTGACATATAGACATTTTGTCAGAAATATAGGATCTATACCATACAGCTTAGTCTGAGGTGATGTCTCTCTTTTATTAAAATGGTGGCCTCCATCAGCTTCTCAGTTTCTTGGTAGCCATTTATCATCATCTGTCACTATTGCAGATAGCTTCGGTTTACTGATGATTTAGTTCTTTGCAGATATAGGTATTAAAAACTGGCTGTGCTCGCGACTTCGTCCGCGTGGAATAGTGATTTTGGACAGCATCTTTAATTTTATAGGGTTCCGTACCCAAAGGATAAAACGACAACCCTTTTACCAAGCATAGATGATCACTATAAACTATACTCCATTCATTATAGCATTAGGCAGAAGTTAAATAAGGTTCTTTTTATGGTATACTTTTTGAGAAAATATCCATAATCATGTTACTCTTAAGAGTGACGGCTAATTTGCTACATATCCACTTAAATACCAGCTGCTATACTTAACTGTTGTCACTTAAGCTATCTATTAAACAAATTTATGAGTATTTGACTAACTTAAATGATTTAATAACACTTACAATAAAAAGTGTTCATCATAAAGAACCTAAAGAAGCAGGGTTGGATAGTTTTGGCGCGATTCTCATGTCACTATAATTCTACCAAATTTAAAACGTTGCCTAATCCCTTCAAATGTTTCGGCAGTACAACTTCTTTATTTTTGTCAGACTAAGATGTATTCATAATTGTCAAAATACGTAATCTAGGATTTCTTTTCTTTCTTGTTGTTTTGCCGTTTTCCGTTATTAAGTTGTTATTGTTTTATTTCTGTTTTGTTATAGTTTTGTTTTTGTTGTCAAGTTAAGTTTTGTTAAATATGGACGATGCCGGTGCAGGCCCGAGTGGACTATAACAATTAAGCTTTAAGCCCCCATACCTACCCTCAACCTTTGACATTTCAGGAAGTTTTTCCAATTTCTTCATCAATAGTCTAATATCTAAGTAAATTTTATAAAGGTAATAATAAAAAAAAATCCTTTCGTTTACCTTTCTTTCCTGTGCATAGATATAACTAAATTATATTCTAATTATATGTATACATTTACTTCTTAAAATGCTGGCCTCATCTCAGCCCCGAGGTATCAATAAAAAAATGGAAAATTCCCAACCTCTTTCAGACTACAAAAACGTTCAAAGTTTCAACAAAACTATAATATTTATTTTTTAAATTTATCTTGAAAATAAAATGTTCTGTACTGCTGCTTCTATGACCCTCTTTTTTCTAATGTTATAATGAATGGAGTATAGTCAGGGATTACCAAGACTTGGCAGTCTGTATGTTTGTCTGTCACCTGACTCTATCATATAAATTGTGAAAATTAGACAGTTGAATATTTCACAGATGATGTACATCTGTTGCCGATATAACAACAAATACAAAAAAAAAACAGAATAAAATAAATATTTAAAGGAGCTCACATACAACAAACGTGATTTTTTGTTGGTTTTCGGTACGGAACCCTTCGTGCACGAGTTGACTCGCAGTTGGCCGGTTTTTTAGGCTAATTATTTTACAAATAAAACACATGTATTCATTAAAAAGCTATTTCACGTTATTTAAGCACAAAAAAAATAAATTAATGTTCAAGTACCAAGTATAAAGTACAGAGATTTTGATTATTTAGTAGACCCAAATAATGAAAACCTTTGTACTTTTTACAATTATTTGACTTGTGAACGTGAGCAAAGATTAAAATTAAAATTACGATATTATTAAAATTAGTTTGAAAAACGAAAAAAATGTATTTTTTTTTTAAATAAAGCAAAAATTATGGAAATATAGGTAGGTTCTCTTGTATTGTATTGTTTCGAGTTGCGGATTATCTTGGGTTTATGCAGCCCAGTATCACTGCGACCATTGCTGATCTATTGTTATCTCCACATACTACAGTTCACGGTCAAGATTACATTCTACAAGATAATGTAGTATTTACTTGACTGTAAGTTCTTTAATATCGTCTGGGTGCATCACGTGCTTTCCCAGATAGATACATCGTTTTCGCATTAGTGACGGGCAATCAGTCAAAATGTGCAAGGGTGTTTCTTCTTCTTCCTTGCATTCTCTGCACATTCTTCTACCGCTGATCCCCATATTGCACATGTGTCTGTTCAGTCCATAATGCCCTGTGAGTACTCGTACTAGTGAGCGAAGGTGATTTTTGGTTAAGTTCAAGGCCTCTGATGCCGCCTTTTTGTTGAAGGTTTTAATCAGGGTCTTAGAGTGTTTCATACCGGGAGTGTTTCTCGATAGTTGAATAGCTGCATAATGGCAGTATGTTTTCAAGGTTAGCTGGGTTAGGCTTTCAGGGATGCCACAGAAAGGTTCTGGTCCGATAAGAGCGTCTTTAGCACCCTTCTTCGCCAGTTTGTTCGCCTGTTCATTGCCCTCGTGTCCAGCGTGACCCGGAACCCATCGTAGAACTACTTTGTTGTTGTTGCCCAAAGTGTTCAATGTCTGTTTGCAGTTCTCGACCAGCTTAGAGCTAGTTACGTCGGAGGCTAGTGCTAAGAGTGCAGCTTGACTATCAGAGTGAATGTAGATAGTACGATTGAGGTAGTTGTTTTGCAGATTGGCTGCCGCACATTCCAAAATACACCTCCGCCTGGAATATTGAGGAGTACTTTCCCATGTTCAGACTTATAGCCTTCCTTGGGGCTTCTCCATAAATTCCACAAACTACCTCAGGGCCGGATTTGGAGCAGTCAGTGTACCACTTTAGGCTTCCATTTTTCCATACTATACGATTGTTTGACCAGTCGTCCCTGGTGGGTATCTCCACAAGATATGACCTATGTGAATCGACTCTCGGGGGCATGGTGTCAGTAGGCATCCCAGGATTGGTATATTGTATATTGAGTCCTTCAGATACCTCAAATTACCTGACAGCCATGTCTTCGCCTCCATGCTGGTGATCCTGTTCATACTAGCCCTCGCCACCATTTCAATGTTTAGATGTAGGGGCGGCAGATTTAGCAGAGCCGGTAACAGAGCGACAAGGGCAGCAGTCAGGGTGGAAAACATAGCTCCTGTTACTATAAGACAAGAAGTCCTTAGCAGACTGTTAAGTCTTGATATAATAGTACTCTGTGTCGTTTTTCTACTCCAAACCACCGAGGCGTAAGACACCATCGGCCTTATGATGGCTGTGTAGAGCCAGAGGGCTATATTGGGTTTCAAGCCCCATCTATTTCCCGCTAGCCGACACATATCATCAGAGCTGTTTTAGACTTTTGTATAATTCTGTCTACATGTGCGTTCCAAGTAAGTTTCTGGTCCAGTGTTACCCTCAGATACTTGACCTCTATCGAGAAAGGAATGAGCCTCCCATTCATGGTCGGAGGCGAAAGCTTGTCACGTTTTCGTTTCCTTGTGAATGGGACGACCACGGTTTTGCCTGCATTAATCGACAAAATATTGTCTTTACACCATGAGTTAATCGTGTTCAGCGCCCTCTGCATAAGGTACGATAGCATACTCTGACAGTTTCCTCTCACTATCACCACCAGGTCATCGGCATAGCCCAGGGTGTCAAAGCGGAGTTCAGCCATCTTATGGAGGAGCTGGTCCACCGCAAGAGTAAGAGTAGCGGAGAAAGTACTCCACCTTGCGGGCATCCTCTTGTTGTTGCTAACACTAGTGAATCATTGAGTAGTTCCATCCTCACTGTCCTACTCTCTAGCATGGCTCTTATCCATCTTACAGTAGTGGAGTCAATCTCTTTATGGACTAATCCTCTTACTAATGTCTCGGTGGGCGTGTTATCGAACGCTCCTTCCACATCAAGAACAGCAACGAGTGCTATTTCTTTATCGTCCAGTGCCTTTTCAACCTTGTCTATAAGGTTTAGTAGGGCAGTCTGCGTAGATCTGCCGCTTCGATAGGCGTGCTGGGTATCATGTATGGGTTTATTGATGAGACTCCCTTGTCTGATATGATTGTCTAATACCTTCTCCATGGTCTTCAGAAGAAATGACGTAAGGCTGATTGGCCTGAAGGACTTTGGTGATGTATAGTCCTTCTTTCCAGCTTTAGGTATGAACACGACTTTTACCTTAGTCCACGATTCTGGAATGTATCCCCAGGCCAAACTGGCTCTGAAAATTTTTACCAGATAAGGGATGAGATTGGCGGCACCCCGCCGTAAGAGCACCGGAGCCACACCGTCAATTCCACCCGATTTAAAAGGTTTGAACGAGTTAATAGCCCATTTCACTATTCCAGGCCCAATAACGAGAGCGGCTCTTCTCCAGTCCTTTGGTAGAGGCCTTCGAAGAGTAATCGCTACTGCATTATCAGTAGATCCTGGAAAGAGGGTGATAGCCATTAGCTGCAAGGTTTCCTTCTCATTAGTCGTGAAGGACCCGTTCGGAGACCTAAGGGATTACAGTGTGCCTTTGCCATGATCTTATGAAGTCTTGCTCCTTGAGGCGTATTAGTTATCTTCTCGCAGAACTTCCTCCATGATGCACGCTTGGCTTTTCTAATTTGTTTACTGTATTCGTTTAGGGCCATCCTGTAGGCATCCCATTCATGGGTGATTTTGGCCCTGTTGAATGACTTTCGTGTTTTCTCCCTAAGCTTTTTCAGCTTTGAGTTCCACCACGGTACTTTTCGTTTGGATGATTTGATTTTGGGTGTACTGCTAGCCTCGAAAGCATCTTTAATGCCATTAGAGACAGCCTCTATCGCGAATTCAATGCTCTCAACCGTTCTAATGCATTTAGGAATTACTTCTAAGTTCCGTACAAGGTGTTTGTTGTATTCATCCCAGTCGGTGCGCTTAGGATCCCTAAATGCACTAGTATGTGTACTTAGTTCCGATGTTAGTTCTAAGCATATATGCCTATGGTCCGACACTGAGTTTTCGTTAGTAACCCTCCAGTTTTCTACCTGCCTGGCCAGGTTGTCTACCTGCCTAGCCAAGAAATATCTAACACTTCTTGTCTCGTCATAGTTACAAAAGTTGGTTCACAGCCATTGTCTAAAGTTTGAAGACAATTGGTTACTAGGTAATTGTTTAATAACTCACCCCTGTCATTAATATTGGTGCTTCCCCAGTCGGTGTGGTGGGCTCACGCATCGCACCCCACAAGCAGCTCAGCATGATGTCTCCGGACGTAGTCGACCACGGGTGTGAGCTCAGCAGTCGGGTCAGCTTTATCTCCGGGCAGGTAGGCCGAGCACACGAGCACTCTGGGCCCATGCCATCCCTTGAGATTGACAAATGCTGCTACAAGGTCATCTGTGCACAACTCTGTAACAGGCAAATAGTTAGTGTTTTTGCTGAAAACAATACACGCCTTGGGTTTCAAGCCATCAATGTTATAAAGCACCTTACCAGCGGCTTTGAGTCCCAGAATGGTTGAGTTATGCACCCAGGGCAAAGTCGACCTTCTGTTCTGCAAAGCACTGTTCCACTACTGCGGATGCAGCAGCGGCGTGTTGGAGGTTTGCTTGCAAAATCCTTGCCCGAGCCCCTGGTTGGCCATTTTTATTTCCCTCGTTTGGCAGCTTTCGCGGCACCCCGTGATCCTCCCGCTAGAGGCGATGGTCGCCCTTTAGCATTCGGGTTTTGGGGTTTTGCCACTCCAGCTGCATGCTTACCCTTCCCTCGCCGGCCCCCGCCCACGACCACTGGCGCTTTTCCACCCCGAGGTTGTGAGCCCTGGGGTTTCTGTGTGCCACTGGTCGACGGCGTCGGTTCGGCGGCAGGAGGTGGTTCGGAGGAAGACTGTACATGCTGAGGGGCCTCATGGTCGCCCTTGATCTTGAAGTAGACCCTCTTAATCCGAGATTCACGATGGAGAAGGTGACAAGCCTTCCTCCTTCTCGTTTAGAACCCTCCAGAGTCCAGGATTTATGGCTTTATTTTGTACCCTCAGCAGGGCTAATGCCTCAGTAACTGAGGCAGCCTCCGTCTTGGGTACAAAAGTCGTTGCCGTGGACGGCCTTGGAAGCTCGATTTCCGACATCGTGGTCAGCTGAGCTTCAAGCCATGGCTTCATTTTTGGTGTTACAGCCACAAGCCAGTCATGGCTATGCTGGTTCGCGCAGGTTACCAGTATCCATCCTGTCCTGTGGCTGAAACCGACAAATTCAGGTCCATCGCCCTCCGTGTCTATTTTTGTTAGGGCCACTTCGGATGGGGCGTCGGGCGATCCAGAATTGCCTCCTTCGACCACGACTTCCACCTCCGTTGTAGGGGATAAGCTGATGGGCGTTCCAGAGTCCTTTGCAGTCCTCTTCGCCTCATCACGGTTCATTCCGTCCTGGATGGATTCCAGAAAGGAAGACATAGAGTTTTGACTAATAGATTCGTTGTTTTCCTTCTCCATGTTGTACCCACGAGTAGCTAGGGAAATAAAAGGTCACGAACGACAGAACCCCGCATGTCGCCCGAAGGGTTATCTACTACTCCGATTCATCCTGGTTTCGGAGAGACACCGTTCAAGACTGATACCCTCAGCCATTCATCCCTCGGCAGGGTACGATTGACACCTTGAATTGGGGTTTTAGGAGTTGTCTCCTCCAGGAAAGATTTGAGATAGGATGGAAGGAAAGGTTAGGAGGGGAAGATGAGAGGGATGGGGTTGTTGGAATTATGACGGGATTGAGGGTTCAGAACTGCCTGCAAGGTAGGACTGCCATTGCAGGCATCGTCCCCATACTTGGCTGCTTTGGAGACCGGGGTAGATGGTAAGTATGCGGCGCCCGTTGCGATCCCAAAGCATTTCCAGGGTGTACGACGCGGACGTGTATGATGGACTTGAGGGAAGAGTCTATAGCTCAGCGCCACATACCAGAGCGTACTCAACCCCCCAACACCCCTAGGTACTCTTACCAACTACTAAAATTAAATGTAGGATTCAATTAAAGAAAATTATATATCTTATATTCTACTGTTAAACAACATGCAATAACTTAACTATTATATGTCATTCAATTAAAATGTTCCAAATAAATGTAAATGTAAAAAATAAAAACTCATTAACTGATTAAAAACATTTATCAAGCAACCATGTTTTCAAACGTGATTTATATATAGCGTTAGATAATGCTAGTTGTAGCATTTTATTATTTTGCCAGATTAACAAGTCCCCTTTAAATTATGTTATAAAACGAAAGCTAATTGCTTTTGATAAAAACCGGAAAAAATTAAGACTACAAACATTAAAAAAAAATCAAAATCCAGTATTAAAAATACAGTGGCGTCACCTAGTGCTCAGTAGAGGCAGCGAAATGTAACATTTTCGTGTACTAACCAATATTGTACCGATTAAAATGATTCAAAACATTACTTAATCCTGCGTAAACAGTTTAAATATTTAATAAGAATTGTAAACAGCAGTTACTATCGGTTTTTTTTTTGGTATAAAATTTAAGATAGACATGCTGCTGCGGAACTTTTTTTAAAACTTTTAAAGCAGATCAATTTCGTCATTTATGATTTTTGCTCAACTTTCACCGTTTACGTAGCACACAATGAAAGCTTTAAAAAAGAAAAATATTCTCCCCTTATTGTAACATTTTTCATTTCTGCTCCACTCCTATAAGTCATAGCGAGATATTATATAGCCTATGGCCTTCCTCGATAAGTGGACTATTCAATAAAAAACAATCATTCTATTCCTTCCAGTTGTTCCTGAGATTGTAGGGTTCAATCAAACGAACTCTTCACCTTTATTATTAATGCTAATTTCTCTCAACCAGAATAAGTCGTATAGTACTATATAAAATAAAATAAATTATGGTCAACAACGGTTTTCAAAATTACCTTTTGCAAGCTCTTGCAAACGGTAACGGTCTTTCCAGTACTTGATAGGAACAATATCCCTATACGTAAATAACAACTCAATGAGCATTAGGTAATTTATTTTTTGGATAGTATAACAAACAAGTCACTAATTATCTATAGGTATAAGAAAATTTTAGAACACCAAAATGTAACTATACCAAAGTTTCCAGTCATTCTGAGGTATAATAATTTGACTCTGCTATTTATATAAACTATGTAATAAGGATTGGTAAATATTCAACACCAATAATTTTAATATCTGTAAGCTTATGATATTAATGTAAATAAATATTTTTTTATTATGTCATTTATAAATTGCAATATGGCATGATACATTATAGTAAAATCTGATAATTATGCTTAGCATATATGTTAATTGGTTCAAAAAACCTGTTAAGGATATAAAAAGTTTTATAGATAGAAATATATCATATACAATTCAATAAATAAAAAACCATAAACATATAAAGCGTTTTAATGTACATTTGGATCAATCAAGTAAAATATAGATGTTATGCAGTTGTTATTATGAGCTAGCAACTTGTTTTAGAGGTCCTTCTAAATATTGGGCAATAGCATTTATTTTCTCTTTTAATATTCCAAATCCAACAGTTTCTTTTGCATAAAGACATAATAACAAATTTGCAACTTGTGTAATAGCAATTTTACCATTCAAACAATCTACTAATATTAAATGGAGTCTGTCTTCTTTGAATACATTTCTACCATGTTTTTCATAAGCTGCCCATACATTACTGGCAATTGCAGCTGTTACCCTGGCATCTTTGTCATTGTACCCAGAATAGGCAAGTAATGCACCCTGATGATTTAATAACCTGCAAGTTCAATATATACAAATCCTTTAACACATAAACATATAGTATATTCATACATATGTAAAATATCTCTGTAGATATAAAAATCAGTAGTTTCTACTTTTATATGATTTCTAATGTCTTTATTAATAACGGATATGCTTTATTAGTCAAAAATAACCGTGTAAGTAAATACATATAACGACAAATAATTAATTATTTGTGCTAACAATATTATCAGTGAACAGGAGTTTTAACTTTATCAAAAGATAAAACAAAAGAAATTACAAGGTATTTTCGACACCTCCGGTGTTTGCTTGACTCAGCACTTGGGTTAATGCTTTAGGTTTCAACATAATTGTATGTGTTTGATTTACTGCTTTGGCTTAGGCAATATTCAAAATTATATTAAAAAAAACAACATTTAGACTCATCGAAGACTTTTGACAGAACTATGTAGGATTGGGCAAAAACTATCGATATATCAAATTATCAAAAAATATCGATATAAATAAACGATATATGTTTCCCGCGATATATCAGCTTTCGATATTTATTTTCAGATATCAAATTCGTATTATAATCGATATTTTTTTTTAATTTCAGCTGTCTGCTCTTGCGTCACATTATGTATTTCTTAAATTTAGAAAATGAGTAGGCAGGCAGTTGGCTGTATGAGTTTAGTCTATGACCATTTTGTGTTTTTTGTTTGTCTATAACAATGACACTGCTTGTTGGTTTGGTTGGTATCACTGAGAGTGCTCCTGATGTCAATATTAGAGAAAAACACGTTTGTTTGAATAAGCTAATTTTGGTTGTGTTAATAATGTTGATTTCTTAGCTTTATATGCCTATTTTAAACAATTAAACTGATATCAAAACAGCCAGGTGTGTAGTTGCTTCAAAATTCTGAATATTTTAAAAATTTTAATTGATAATGGCTTATTACGCAGAAAATATCGATATATCAATATATCGATACATATTTGTCGATATTTATCGATTCATTTGAAACATATTGATTCGATATATATCGATATTTTTTCCATTTACCCTTCCCTAGAACTATGTATGTATGTCAATATCAATGAGCTTTCTTTTTTGGTTCAATTTTCTCATTCCTACAGGGGAAGGGGAAGGCAAAGGGTGCTTAGCCCATACAGCCTAATACCAATGAGCACAGACTATTAGGATGCTAACCATAGATAATACATAATACTGCTACGCATCCAACGAGCATAGGGATGCACAATATATCAAAAAACTGATACATAGCCATATTTTGATTATATCCATAAGCCGATATATATCGATATATCAAAGCCAAATAGTACTGTATAGAAGAAAAAGTGGTATCGATATAGAAACCTATACTCCAATCATTATTGCATTAGACAGAATGATAATAAGGTTCTTTTTATGGTATACTTTGTGACAAAATGTCAACAATCATGTTACTCTTAAGACTTACGGCTAATTTGCTACACATCCACTTAAATACCAGCTGGTATACTTAACCGTAGTCTTTTAAAATATATATTTTACAAATTTATGAGTATTTTACTGACATAAAACATTTAATAATTATTACAATAAAAAGTGTTCATCTTAAAGAACCTAAAAAAGCAGGGTTAGATAGTTTCGGCATGATTCTCATGTCACTATAACTCTACCAAATTTAAAACGTTGTCTAATCCCTTCAAACGTTTCGGCAGTACAGCTTTTTAATTTATCAGATTATGATTTATTCATAATAGTCAAAATATGTAATCTGGGATTGTCATTCATTGTGAATGCTACTGCCTTTCTTGTTGTTTTGTCATTTTCGGTGATTGAGTAATTACTGTTTTATTGTTGTTTTCTTATAGTTTTGTTTTAGTTGTTAACTTTATTTTGTTAAGTTTTGCTAAATTGCGATTCCGATGCAGGCCTGAGTGGCCTACAAAAATTACACTCTAAGCTCCCATGCCTACCCTCAACTATTGACATTTCAGGAAGTTTTTCCAATGTCTTCATCAATAGTCTTACTAATTACACTCACAATTAGAATTTATCCAAACAACATATAGATAGTTTCAGCTTAAGTTCCATTTTGGCTTGGGAGTAAAAGATGAATTTATAAAATGCTGGCCGCATCTCAACCCCGAGATATCGTAAAAAATGGAAAATTGCCCAGCTCTTTCAGACTACCAAATGTTCAAAGTTAACAAAAACTAATATATATTTTTTATAAATATCTTGAAAATAAAATGTCCTGAACTGCTGCTTCTATGACCCTCTTTTTTCTAATGTTATAATGAATGGAGTATAGTATAGAATGAAGTCCTAACAGTATATGTATATCGATTGTCCTGTTAACACCAACTACTAATCTTTGGAGATTAGCTAGATTAATGAGAGGAAGCTCGTTAACTTAAAATATAATATAGCAAATGAAATATAAATATAAAGAGTGCTAACGCGTTTGAATTTGCCACTAGAAGCTAGTGTAGCACGAGGTCTTCGAACTGTAATCATAACTTGTCGGTGAATTGCGCGCGTTTCTTTTCGACTGCTCTGTAGTTAGTATTTTAAACGGAGCTAAGGAAAAAGAAGCAAAATTAATCGGAATAAAAAAATATCATACAATCTTATGAATTACAATGAAATGAAATGAAAATATCTTTAATCGAGTAAGCTATAAAAAGCACACTTGAAACGTCCAAAAAATTTTTCCCCTACCACTTGTTCAGGACCTCTTTTAGCTGACAAGAAGAACAAGCGAAAGAAACTTACCAGCCCTTTATCATAAGTAATGACATTTACATAAATCATGTCATTACCAAAATAATATGTATTATCACAATAATAATTACAACTTTCAAAGTCTGTAGGACATAGGTTGAACATATAATTAGACTTTATAGAACAAAGCGAATGCTATTAATTCTATGGAATGTGATCCTTAAAATAATCATCAACTTTATAATAACCTTTACTCATAAGTATGTTCTTTACATGAATTTTAAATTTATACCCATAAATAAACTCCATTTTGTGGAACTTTATTGAACATAGCAATGCATTTACCCAGAAATGATCCTCTGGTTTTTTGAACTCTGAAACTTAGAACGCCAAGTTTATTTTTATTTCTTGTGTTAAGATTATGAATACATTTTTTTTTTTGTGAAGGAATCGTAATGTTTTCTTGCGGTCATAATATTTTCATAGATGTATTGAGAGGCAACAGTCAAAATATTTATTTATTTAAATATTTCTCTGAGAGATTCTCTAGACCGTAAATTATATACAGCTCTCTTTTGTAAAATAAAAATATCTGGAATCCTAGCCGCAGAACACCACAACAATAGACCATACGTCATTACACTATGAAAATAACTAAAATATACCAATCTTGCCGTTTCAACATTTGTCAAGAGTCTAATTTTCTTAACAGCAAATGCAGCAGAACTCAGTCTACTTGACAAATTATCAATATGAGGATCCCATTGCAGTCGGAAATCTAGTGTAATACCAAGGAACTTTGTCGATTCTACCAACTGAACTTTTTCACTATTTACATTTATAAGTGTATTAACATGCCTCACATTAGGTAATGCAAACTTTATGCATTTCGTTTTATTTGAATTTTGCTTTAAATTATTACTATCAAACCACTGTAGAACATTGTCGAGAGCATTATTTACATCGTCAAAACAATCATTACCTTAACTTTCATCATCATCATCAGCAAATAATACTGTCTTGAACAAATTATTTGTAAAGTGAGGAAGATCATTAATGTAAATTAGAAAAAGCAATAGTCCTAATATCGATCCCTGAGGGACGCCCATAGTAATGGGTGCCCCTGCAGATTTCGCTTCATTAATTACTACTTTTTGAATTCTAGCAGAAAGATATGATTTTATTAGATTAAGTGAATTCTTCGTCACACCATAATGCTCTAATTTCCCGCACAGTGTTTCATGACTAACGCAGTCGAATGCTTTTGAGAGATCGCAAAAAATGCCGATAGCATCTTGTTTATTCTCCCAAGCATCATAGATATATGTCAGAAGTGCAATTCCAGCGTCTGTGGTACATTTACCTCTGCTATAAGCAAACTGATTTTTTTGAATTAATTTATTTAACGAAAAGTGTGCAAGCAGTTGATTATAAATAATTTTCTCAAATAATTATATGATGTGACAAAGCAAATTAACTCGAGCCCGAGGCAAATCCACAGCGATGGGTTTCAATCAGCAGGCCTATTCGCTAACTCAAGTGACAGCTTAAAGTCGTAATCACCGTTAAAAGTGAACAATGAAGAATATTATAGGGGTCGTCAAATCGCTTGAAACGTTAAATCCTTATAGTCTTCACATTAAGAATACACCTGTTTTTGTTCTATAAAAATTGAGCGAGTAGTTTTAAAGCCACGACTGTTTTAATTTCTGCCTTTTTCTAAAATTTCGCCTTGGTGAGCTATAGACGTGTGACGTCAGATTACAACGCACCGCACTCGCAACACTGAGTCACTCATACATTGTACCGTTTTCTTGATGACAATAACTTAAGTCGTGTACCATTCAACTGGTAGTGCTAAAGTACAAGTATTCATAACGAATGACACCGATCCACCCAGCAACCCCTACTATGTCCGCATGCAGATTGGTAAAGTGGGCGCTAGGATACAGGTCTTTCTGATGGATGGTATATGTAATATAAACAGTAATTCGTACAGGGCTGCGTGATGGGTCCAATGCGAATTTGTGATACTAAATCACAGGTATAATATGATAATATTTTCACATTGAGTACTCGTGTATGTGAGATTGCAGAACTGCAGAGTAACTTGTGATTCTTCAAACATTTTTCTCCATATCGAATTGCATCGCATCGAGCCACGAGTAAACACTCATAGGCTCAATATAATAAAGTGTCATCTATATGGTAGGTAGTCTTCTTCTTCTTCTTTTATTAATGACATTGCGCATAATTAATTTCTACATGAAAATGAAATTAATGATAGATCTTGTGTACCTATATTGTCTGGTAGGTGGTTCGTGCGTAACCTGATTCATAGATTACCTATTTTTCCAAAGATAATTTATTACCATGTTACTATTCTATGGCATACTAGATACACTCATTGTTGTTTATGACAGCGTAATGATTGTCTTATATTTTTCCATATAAAATGCATCGTTCGTTTTAAACTTTAATTAAACCATTAGTCTCAAATGGTTTGTATCTTTTCTTATCACATACTCATTGACAAATCAATATACAATATTCATAATAAAAGAAAATGGGCGAAATTAAGTAGACCAGTGCAGACTCATCTCTACTGGCATTATCCGCTGACTCGGCCACGGCAGAGAAGTAAAAGAGAGCATGACTACTCTAGGTACTTAATAAGTAATATATTTCAAAAAACTGATTTCTAGAGTAGATTCAGTAGGAAATCAATCTATTATTATAAGTACCAAAAAACACATTCCCATCGTACGAATTACCATAACACCTGGCTCGACGTCCGCCGTCGACATGTAAGTTCAGTAGCGATAGTATAATAACTGTAAATGTCTTTATGATTTTGAAATTTAAAGTTACTAAGTTAAATATATATGCTGTTCATTTATTGATGATTGCTGAATATTTATAAAGATAATTTATTTTATAAAAATAAGATTTAATAATAGATCTTAGTTAAAAAAAAAACTTAATTTCGAAAGGACAACTTATTTGCACGTTGTACCTATTATATTTGATACATATCAGGTATAATTATCATTTTTATGACCTCTGTTACTGATTAATAAACCCTATTTATCCATTCACCACACATAATACAAAAATATTATTGAGACTTGATGTAGTTTTGTTGCTGTAAGTTCAACCAACAACTAATAGCAATAAAATAACTAACCTAGTTGTTATTGTTTTCAGAACTTTTGTTTAATATTATAATGAAAAATGCCTAAATCTGCTACGGCATAAGTATTTTATTTTAAAAAACTATTTCACGGTAATATTGTTGGATACCATAGCTAAATGCCACTTTTGATAATTTCTCAGCATTCATTCTATTGATTTCCGTAACTTTAAAAAACCTTCTCTATACTCACTTCCATTAAGTTAGTTTCCATTTTCCTTTATACCAATAAAAAAAAAATTATTCAAAGATTCGTTCGTATTAATTGAGTTGCATTTGTGTAATTCGAACTCATTGAAGTTCAACTCGATATTAATCCTCAGATCCATAACAACACTGACCATTTTATTCTCTTTGGTCTAACCGTCTTCTGTGTATATATAAAAAAGCTGATGATATCCCGCGTTCGCTTCAGCAACTTCTGAAGAAAAAGGATTGCTTTGTATATATTTATGAATATGTAACCTCAACCATTGGGGAAATCTAACTTGGTTGTTTTTTCTATTTCAATTTAATCTTGTTTATTCATAATTTCCTTCGTTTGTATGTTTCGCTTGTTAATTTGTAAATAAGATTCACAGAATATGATAATGAGTAATAACCTTTGCTGATTTTTCATAAATCAACCCTGTACGTACATAGTTTTGTGACAAAAGTCTCTATGATAAACTGTAGTTTCACGAATTTCACAGACTTATTGTTTATTATGTTATTAATGACATAAAACATGTAATCACATAAAACTTAAAAAGACTTGGCTTCGGTCTTTTCACCTAGACTGAGAATACAAATTTTTATTAAAAAAGACTTGGCTGTGGCCGTTGAATTAGAATATTTAAGAATATAATTACAAATGACAAGGATGTATGGGCTAAGCACCCTTTGCCTTCCCCTTCCCCTGTAGGAATGGGAAAATTGAACCAAAAAAAAATCTCTTTGGTCTAACCACGAATGTCAATTTAAACTGGATTGTGCAGTGTTTCATTAAAAACGGGCAGAGTGAGAGAGTAAATTAGTAACTCTTCATCTCTGTCTTAGTAGTTTTGTAGGATGTCCTCGCGTTTTTAATAATTTCATAAATAGGTAATATTTAATAATGTTTACATGACCAAATTTAAACATTTACTGATATAATTTTATAAATTTTTACAGATATTATGAATGATGATGTTAGAAATTTAACCGATAAATTAGTTTTTATTTATCGGTAAAGATATTTATTTTGTAGGAAATAAAACAAGTACATAAATGTTATTATAATCATCTATAATGTATAAATCAATTAAAATGATAGAAATGTTTTTTTTTTCCTATTAATTGTATTAGAATACAACGGATCACTTTGCCTGGTATTATTGTCCTCCATTTTCAGCTAGACTTTTATCCTTTAGGATCCTAGAAACATAAGAGCAATTTTGTCATGGTCAGCATAAGAAAATTATTACTTTATAAATATTTATCCAAACTAATGTGTAGGCCATTCAGATATTTTCCAAAACATAATTAAGCTAGTTGTCGTTTTTCATTTTCCAAATAACTTTGTACCTACCGTGAAAATATTGATAACGAAGAATGGCGGGTAGCGTAAGTAAAACTTATAAATGTTTATAATATAAACGTATGAATATTAATTTAAATCAAAGCCTCTTTGATATGGTTTTGTTTCTTGATCGTAGACACCCTATTTCATCACTGTTTAATAAATAAGGAAAACAGCTTACCTGTGGAATGTGAAGTCACATTCGTGATACCATTCATTTTTGCAATCAGCCAAGCAAAACAATATACCATTTTGATGTAAATAATCGAATTAGTAAGTCAAAACACAAATAAACATTAAACTTTAACATTGTTTATGTTGTCACATCGAGCGGCCATATTAATTTATAATATTGCTACTTAGATGTAACGAAAAACTACTAACACGGCATCGGTTTACATTATAATTTTAATTAATTCACACATTTACTTAAAAAACATATCAACTATGTCTATTCAATATATTTACTAATAGATAATAATTAAAATTACCTAGTGATGTCTTTAAAAAATCAATAAAATCTCCTAATTGCCAATAACAATTATTTAATTTTCCAATGGCAACTCGTTAGACAAGGACCTACTACTACAAATCTAATATCTCTAGTAGACCGTTTTTCTACTCTGAAATGTGACATAGAAAAATAAACCTTATTAATATTAGATAAAGTGTAAGTTTGATTTTAAGAAATATATCAGTACGCAATCCAATTTAAGTTGACATTCGTGGGTCTAACATCATGAATGAGAAAGTATTTTAAGGATAAAAAAAGAAAGCACTAAAAAAGGACCTCACTAAAAAATCAATACGAATATGAAAAAGTTTAAATAGAATATGAGTTTTGTAAATTAATTTACTTTTTAAACATAAAAGGGTATTTTACATCAATTTTTATCCCTTCGAGATACCCCAAATTCCGTAAATATTCGTAATTCTTATGTGGCAGCACTCCAATACGGTACGCTTCGGCCAAGGGCGTTGAATGACAATGTCGAAGTTGTTCGACAGCCATCAACACGGTTGACCAACCAGATGGTCGGTAGTCGGAGCTCCGATCACCTACAGTGTATAACACTTAAATGTTTTCCTTGTTTGTAGCATAGGAATCACAGGTTTGACATAAGTACTCGGGATAATGGTGCTCGCTGAGCGAGTGTGATAATGTGACGTCATAGCAGCCAGCGACGACCTCCAGGGGGGCGCCTAACTTAAAAATTTCATGTCTTGAAAATTATATGACGTATCGAAAAAATTATTTAAAAGTTTTTTATTTTTAATAGAGTATAAAAATCTTAAAACCGTGACATTCATTCATTTCATTTTACTTATAGAAATGTATTTATTCGGGCGAAATGCGCATAATAGCCATTAATAAAAGAAGAAGAAGATATTCCTCATTCAAAAACATGTATTTGTAATACTGACTTGGCGCACTTCTAGTGAGCAACATACTTTTTAAAATTCTATACTTTAGACGAGACTGTACAACTTTAATCCCTTTGTTTTTAATTGAAATATAAAACTCAAAATGTTAACCTAAAATAATCATTGCAAAATATGGTTTGTGTTCGAGCATGTCAATAGTTCTTTTTACGCCAAAGGGTGTTTGCGGTAAAGGCTTTTTCATTTTATTATTTTAACGAAATAGTGATTTGAAACTCAAAATGGTACGTCACAATAATCAGTTACCTAATAACCTGACTCAATTGCAAAATTTAATCAAAAGGGACCCAGCATCATATAAAGAAGAATTTCATCAACAGCTTGCACATTTCGAAACAACCTTAGAGATATTTAATTTAAATCCTACTCAATATAATAAGAAACTTGATGAACAAGCTATGTTTTTGGCTCAGGTAGCAAAATGTTATCCTAGTGAAATGAAATTATTTCCCCAGAAAATTGTGGACATCTTAAAAACCCATAATACGATTTTACACAATGATATGCGTCTTGCTTTGTGCAAATGCCTCATATTACTAAGAAATAAAAATTACATAACACCTTTTGATCTATTGGAATTGTTCTTTATACTGTTGAAATCCCAAGATAAATACTTAAGAGAATTTTTAAAAACTCACATAATAACAGACATAAAAAATATAAATATGAAACACAAAGATATGAAATTTAATGCAACTCTGCAAAATTTTATATTTTCTATGTTGCGAGATACCGATGCTAGAGCAGCAAAACTGTCTATTGATATTTTGATTGAGCTCTATCAAAAAAATATATGGAATGATCATAAAACTGTAAATATAATTGCTGATATTGGATGCTTTTCAAAAGTAACCAAGGTAATGGTTGCGTCTCTTAAATTCTTTCTGGGCAAAGATGAAGAAGAAAAAGCAGTGGAATCTGATAGTGACAATGAAATAGACCCACGAGACACTATGATCTCTAATAAATTTAATAAGAAAACCAGAAAAAGAGAAAAAATGGTTGACAAAGTGAAAAAAGTTGCTAAAAAAATGAAGAAGAAAAAGCAAAACGCTCCAGCATTTAACTTTTCCGCTTTACATTTGATAAATAATCCACAAGGGTTTGCAGAGAAATTATTTAAACAAATTGAATCATCTAATGAACGATTCGAAGTAAAATTGATGTCTCTTGATGTTATATCAAGGTTAATTGGCTTGCACAATCTATTTTTGTTCAATTTTTATCCTTTTTTGGCAAGGTTGCTTATGCCCCATCAAAGAGAAGTTACGCGCATACTTCAATTTGCCGCACAAGCAGCCCATGAATTAGTGCCACCAGAAGTAATTGAACCAGTAATGAAAGCTATTGCTAATAATTTTATAACTGAGAGGAACTCCACTGATGTAATGGCTGTTGGCTTAAATGCAGTTAGAGAAATATGTGCACGTTGTCCACTAGCTATTGATGAAGATCTTCTTAGAGATTTAGTGCAATACAAATCATACAAAGAAAAATCTGTAATGATGGCTTCTAGATCACTTATACAGCTATATCGACAATCAATGCCTAACCTTTTGCATAAAAAAGATAGGGGACGTCCAACAGAAGCAACTATTGAACTCAAATCCAAAAAGTATGGTGAAGTGGAGGTAAAAAATTATATACCAGGTTCAGAAGTACTTTTAAACAAAGAGTCTGTAGATGTTATTGAAAAGGTGAAGGGGAAAAAAAAGTCTAAGAAAAATGACTCTGATAGTGATGAGTGGGTTGATGTAGCATCATCAGATTCAGATATAAATATATCTACTGATAGTGAATCTGATGATGAACATGATACAGAGGAAGAAGAAGAACTCGATGATGAATGTAATGACGATGACACAGCAACTGTTGATTCCTCACAAAACAATGCTGTCAACAAAGGTAATAGAAAAATATTGAAAAGCAAAAGGAAGATTAAAAGCATAGATATTGAAGAAAAAATTAATTCAGCTCGAGATATTGCTATGGAAAAAATATTCACTGATGAGGATTTCAAACGTATTGAGGGAGCTCAATTAAAAAAGCACATAAGTGGCATAAAAAGGAACAGAAGTGTTATTGAAGATGAAACAAATGAACCAGGAGAACTAGTGAAGCTGTCTGATATTGAAAATATTCACAAGAAAAGAAAACATGATAAAAATGCCAGATTAGAGACAGTTTTGAAGGGTAGGGAAGATAGAGATAAATTTGGCTATAAAGATAGAAGAAAAAATATTCACTGCTCTAAAACAAACAGGGAAAAGAAGAAGACTAAGAACTATCAAATGGTGAGGCATAAAGTTAAAGGGAAGATTAAGAGATCATTTAAAGACAAACAGATTGCTTTCAGGAATTACCTGATCAAGCAGAAAAAGATGCGTTAGATTATTATATATTCTTTCATTGTTAAATATTTCATAATAAAATATTTCTTTCTATGCCTTATTTATAATTTTATTATCAATTTGTTTCTATCTATATAGTAGATATAAAGATCCGGGAGCTGGGTGTGGAGTAGTCCCTGCCAGATCCCACGTCTCCCCCAAAACTGAGGTGGTACTGGAGAGGATTAAGTGGATATGACGACCTCCGTAGCTGAGTGGTTCGCACGCCGGCCATAGCGTTACGCATATGATACTTTGATACTTTTGCGTAACGCATTTCACAGCGTTACGCATATGATACTTTGATACTTTTCCCAATTTTTGTATTTTTTTTAGTATTTCTATGGTGAGATACATTATGCATTCCCGAGTATTTTGAGACGACTGCCCTCGAAAAGGAGTCTATTGTTTTTAGAATTAATGTATGTATGTGAGTTTTTTTATTGCACCATAACTTTTGAAAGATATAACGGATATGGTATAGGGTATCATTAGAAACATCATCCTAAGTTACCACAAAATACATAGAGTATCAGTGACACTAGCTTTATTTATTAATATTAAATAGGTATGGGGACGTGTGACGCCATTTAAAAAAGTATGTTTTTTTAATCATAACTTTATGGGTATCAAATTAAAGGTCCATTAAAATTATCTCTATACATAATTAGCTGCTCACTAAAAGGAATAAAATATAAATAAATAAGTTAATAATTAAACAACCTTTTTGGTGGCGACCATCGTGGATTTGAAATTTGTCATAATTTGTAGTTTTCTACTACTCAAGCCCTATTATTTGATATCCGTATTGAGGGAGTCATGACAACATGTAGGAATCCAACATTTTGTGGCGGCGGCCATCTTGTATATAAAATTTTGTCATAGTAAACAGTATTCTACTACTCAAGCCCTTTTATTTGATATCCGTATTGAGGGAGTCTTGAGAAATATGTAGGTAATCCAACATTATTGGTGGCGGCCATCTTGGATTAGAAATTTGTCATAGTTAATCAGTGCTAACTATGACAATCTTTAATCAGTGCTATTATATGAAATTCAGTATTCTACTACTCAAGCCCTCTTATTTGATACCCATATTGATGGAATCGTGATAAAATATGTAATCCGACATTTTGTGGCGGCGGCCGTCTTGGATCGATTTTCATCAAATATAGTGAAGAACACTCCCGACCAATACACCTTTCAAACAAAAAAAATACAAAATCAAAATCGGTTCATCCGTTCGGGAGCTATGATGCCACAGAAAGACACACACAGACACAGACACGTCAAACTTATAACCCCGCGTCGTTTTTGCGTCGGGGATTAAAAATATATTGAATTTAGAAAAAGTTGTTTTACATGCGGATCTCCGATAAATTTGATATCGGTCGAATTGCATCGAGCCATAAGTCTAAGTTAATCCTTATTACGTAAGTCAACTTCTAGTGGAATTCCATATAAATCGAATTTCGTGACCAAAGTTGGAATTCCCACTATACTGCTCTAATAACGCTTGCTTGAACGTATCTAGATCGAAAATGGCGCGAAGTAATGCGACATAGGTCTAACGTTGAGGAGCGCTCGCGCAGTACTGACATAGAGAAATATAATATTACCATATTACCAAAAGGAAAGTATTGAGCTCAGGCGGCCGATGCATCTTATTTTGTAGTGATTTTGCGTTTACATTTATTGTATTTATTGAAATAATATAATAAATTTATTCTATAAAATTATAATAACTTTGTTGCTTATGAAAAAGTCATTAATCTGGCATAAATTTTGTTAAATAATATTGTTGTGGCTAAGAGAAATTCAAAGTTAACTTCAAGCAATTTTTGATGTTTTTTGGTTTGTAATATGATTGTTTTTCTATATTTAATCAGTGCTATTTCAAAATTTCGACGCTACTGTTTACTTGACGACTCAGTCCATAAAGAATAATCTTGTTGGCAGAAATGGAGCGGAGTGACACCTTCATACGAAACTCCTCAACCATACCATAACACTAGCCAGATGATGAGTAACATTACGTGCAGAAGCTGGGACATCCTTGCTACTTTTAGCCAGTGGCGTAGCTACCAAAGAACTAGGCGAGGCAGACCCCGGGACCCTCAAAACAGGGAGCCCTCGAATTACACAAGTCACATACGGTAGGGGCCGTCCATTAATTACGTGATGTTTTTTTGTCATTTTTTAAACCGTCAAATGTGGTAACACTGGCGGCGATAAAATGTTTGCCGGGGATTCCCATCGACGTCTTGTATCGTATCATTACCGTTATCAGTGAACAGTGAGTACCTACTTGAGTACAATCTTACATAAATATTGCATAAATAAATTAGAAAACTAATATTATGGACAAAAAAGAAACCCAGTGGTGCATTTAAACGCAAACAACGCTAAGAAAGAGAAGAAAGTAAACAAAAATTGCCCAAAATTGACAAGTTTTTTAATCAGCCTTCTGCAAGTACTTCTGGACAAAATATTTCTATTGATAATTTTTGTAAATAGCTTGCATCGGCGATAGGTTAAATAACTGTCAGCTGGTGCAACGTATCTATGAATAAATAAATATATAATAATCCCTTGAATCTTTTCCATTTCGTTTTATTGCCCAATATCTATACCATGAAATGTGTTAAAAAAGGGTATCTGGTACAATTTGTGTGGCTTCCAAGTCACGTGGGAATTCAAGGTAATGAGAAGTCTGATCATTTAGCAAAAGAGGCAGTACATTGTGGAGACATGTTTCCTTTTAAAAATTATACCCATGACTTGTTGTTATTGCCGTTGTACCATTTGCGTAAGGAGTGGCAAACTTATTGGACAAATAGTGGACAAGTAAAGGGAAAACATTATTATCAAATACAACCTAAAATTATGATGAAACCGTGGTTCCGTAAAATTAAGATCAGTAAGACTGCTACTAGTATTTTAATACGCTCGAGAATTGGTCATGTTAGTACACCAGCACATCTTACTAAGCTGGGAATTGTTAGTGATGCTTCCTGTAGGTGTGGGTCAGACCACTGTGATCTTAACCACATATTGATTTCTTGTACACTATACGATCGATCCGAATTCCTTAAAGATCTCATATCCTTACGTGTTTCCTTTCCCACATCCATAGTTTCTTTGCTCTCGTCTAATAACATATCAGTATATCAATGCATAGCGTCTTTTATAATGTCAAACAATATTAAAGTCTAAATATCGTTATTACTTTTTATGTATGTTATATAACGTATATATTTTATATATATTAATATTTTCGTTTCCTGATCCTATTGCTAAAAACCTGTCGCAAATCCTATCCTTTTTCCTACCATCGTTTCCCTACCTTTGACACTGGCAAATACACAAACCGTGTGACGCCAAAAGAAGAAGAAAAAAAAAATCTATACCATGTATTAAAATAATTGTAATTTATGTTGTTAGTGTTTAATAGTTTTATCACCTGCCCATGCACGAAAGAGAGCTGATGATAAAGTTGCTTAGCATTTTTAAAGTATTTGTATATTTAATGATTTTACTTCAAAAAACCTTACCAGTTTTGATAGCAGTGGGCCCCATTTTTTATTTGCCCCAGGGCCCTAGGTTACCTAGCTACGCCACTGCTTTTAGCGTACACTTTATTGTTTTGTCGATCCTCCATCACGAGAAAATATAAAGAAATGAATTTGGGATACAAATAAACTAAAAGTTAGTATTCCAAATTCAAAATCGGTAAAAAAAACAGCCAGTAACATTTTATTTTATTTTTTCAGTAAAAAGTTTGTCTCAAAACTTATGATCTTAATATAGGGCAGTCTAGAATACCTATTTTTTTATTACCATAGATTTTTACTGATGGCAAAGATTAAAGTATATAGCCTATGGTAACATCTCACTTGTGTCTGTCATTCAGCCACGTCATTTTTGCTTTTGAATGAAAAAGTATACGCGGCGCAATCAATTCATTACAACGGCACTGTAAATTATTATAATCATGAATATATTCCGTTTGCTCGGTGATCTCTCTCACCTTTTAGCTATAATTATATTATTACTTAAAATCTGGAAAACACGATCATGTGCAGGTGATATGTCAGCTATTATATCGTGTTGCCGGTATAATAACTAGCTTATCTTTGTGTTCTTTAAAAAATGTGTGTTTTCAGGCATATCTGGAAAGTCGCAAATACTGTTTTCAATTGTGTACACAACTCGGTATTTGGATTTACTGACAACGTACATTTCGGCATATAATACCGTCATGAAATTGGTGTTCATCGTGGCGTCCTATGCGACTGTTTATTTGATGTACGTGAAATTCAAAGCTACCTATGACCATAATCACGATACCTTCAGGATTGAATTTTTGTTGGTGCCAGCAATTATATTGGCATTGGTGATAAACCATGAGTTTACTGTACTAGAGGTCAGTATGTTAACATTATATATTTACTTCTGAGACTATAATGCTGTTGATTTTCTGTCATTTGGTTGTAATATATGATTGGTATATAATTGTAGGTATTATGGACATTTTCGATTTACCTGGAGTCTGTAGCTATTTTGCCACAGCTCTTCCTCGTGTCTAAAACAGGAGAGGCTGAAAGCATCACTTCACACTACCTGTTTGCCCTTGGTTCCTACAGGGCCCTTTATCTTTTAAACTGGGTAAGTTTGATGTTACCAGTACTGATTAAATCATTATATAATTTTCAATAGATAATAAGTCATTCTATTTCACATTCTACTTATATTTATTCATTTAGAATTAATTGTCATAGGCACTCAATGTCTGAAATATTTACAAAAATGGTGTTACGTAGACATTAAACCTATTTATCTTCACTCATAGGTTATAACATTCTTTAAAAATATATAATTTTGTTCACTCTGAATATCATTACTTGTTCAAAATATACTATGTGGTAAAACACAACTTTTAGAGAGACAAGAAGCTTTTTCTTTTCTAAACATGAAAATTTTTTTCTAAGGAATTACTACAACCAAGATTTCACAGGCACAAGCTTCAAATAAAATCACATTGCAAATTTTTTATGTGTAATGATGACAAACAATATTGTAGCTTATATTCTATATGAATGATTAAGATATGATTGAAAGGTCACAGGTTTGAGTCACATCTCAGAGTACCAGGGACAAAGTGGATTTTTTAAGCATTTTTTATAAAAATAGAAAATATATTTCAGTATAGTGTATCATTGTGAATGAAAAATTGATCAAATATAATAAAATGATTTTTTTTAACTTTTAGGTGTACCGCTATGTTGTTGAGGATCACTATGAAATGATTGCTATTGTTGCTGGCGTAGTACAAACTGTACTTTACTGCGACTTCTTTTATTTGTACATTACAAAAGGTAAGGAAAGTGTTATATATTTTTCAATCAATTTAATCATGTCTAGGTAAATCTTAATTTACAGTGCGATTGTTATACAAATATTCTACTATACAATGTGATATTTATATTTTTGTGTTTGTTTTAGTTCTCAAGGGAAAGAAGTTACAACTGCCTGCATAAATCGTGTCATAGAATAATGACAAATTCTGACTATAAAGTGTCTGAGAAGTTAAGCTAATCATTTACCTAAGAACTGGTTGTAAAACCATAGTATGTATAGTTGTGAAATGTTGATCACTACGAGATAATCATGTGTGACGACTTGGGAAAGTAAATATGTGTATATTTATTTTACAATAACAACAACTACAATAACTTTTTGTGCAATTTCACTTGGTATAATTATTAAGTGTAAACTTATAACATTCAATGAAATTAAGCATGCTAGATGGTAAATTTGTTAATAATTTGTTTTGACAAACATAGAAATTTATTTTTGCTGTTTTATGTTTCATTAGAAGATACTAACACTTGCGTTTCCAAATGTAAAGTTATTAGATAGTATTATACATTATTATGAGAATGAATGCTTATGGTATTATCATGAGCATACAATATATGGGATGTAGTTAATTAGAGACCTTCCATACATTGTTAGATAGCTCACATTAATAGAATTCCTACTTATTTTTTAAATTTGATAGTTCATGATGAGGATTGTACAATTGGCAGCCATTCTTATTCGAAATAATTATGTAGACCAGCCAAGTGAATTCGGTTCTGTACCTTTTTACTTGTATTAACTAAATTGGTAGACCAGTTTAGTCAATGCAAAATGCTGTTCAGTAGCTCTTATGTTTTTTAGTCAATTCTGTGCATTCAGTGTATATAGGCTGAAATGATATGTCAAATTGCTATTCATTTAGATTGACTTGTGTATTAAAATTATTCATTGTCAGATTGGTAGATCAAACAAATCTTTTATTTTTACAATTTAGTTTTAAGAAACTACTGTAACATCTTGCAATAAGATTTTAAGGAAATAAAATTTTGAAGTGAAATACTTTTGTAATTTGCATGTAAATATTTTCCTTTATTTTATAGAGTAATATTTTGGTTTATATACACAATAGCTTTGCATATGCGTTAAAATCAGCTAGGTGCACTTGCTCCTGAAAAAAAAGTGATTATTGTTAATGTTAAATACTACTTGATTGGATTCTTCTTTTGCTGGATTCATAATTATAGATATTAAAATTACAATGATTTTGAGTATAAACAATAATTAATTTTACTGTTACTTTAATGCTAGATAAATTATAATAATTAAAAAAAAACAAGTATACCTTTAACATTGTGTTGCTATTCAATAACTGAATAATGCCATCATTTAAAGTATTTTCATTAAGAACAGCCATATATGCTACACCTAAATGGAGGTTTTCCTTCATCTGCAATAAATACAATATGTCACTGAGAGTTAAATATTTATGCAGTTGTATTACACAATAGAAATGACATGCACTAGCTCATTACTACATGCTCACACTGCTGGATCTTTCCATTTTTCTGTGAGCAGGTTCGGCCCACTTTACACACTGAGTGCTGCATTCTCCTTTTATTCAAAACAAGCACATGCGACCCGTCGCGTGCGCAAGGTTCATTTAGCAAACGCCCTTATAATTAAGAGGATGATCACCTTAAACCACAAACTTCCAACTTGCTTTGTATAAATAAATAATGTCCAAATAAATTTATACTAAAACTGAAAAAACTACATCATATTATTACTCTACATCACATTATATTACTCTTCTAATATTTATTAAATTATACCATTTCCCAATTTGTTGTTGTAATTAATAACTCCCTTTTTAAGGTAAAATTGCCAAATACTTCACTTTGTGAGGCATTTTACAATAACCATCATTATGGAGTAATTACAGTTTTTGACGCCCATGGCGCTATCTTCTGGACTATGGTTGTTATGCTATACTTGAGGCAAGGTCATAATGAGCGCGTGTTCAGTTGTATCAATATATGCATTATAATTAAACATATTGTGCAAACTTAGAGCATATACAACTGTAAAATTTTTCTAATCTATTTGAACCTAAATTTATTCATAATTAAAACTAATTGTGGAAACTGAATGGGCACTATTAAATAGCTTATTACTTGTTGTCCAGCTGTTAATGTGGAGTATGGAAGATATGTCGATATATTGCTTTTTTTAAGTTTGTGATCTATTAATCTTGCTAGTTCATATAATTTTGTTTGGTAAGTCTGATCTGCAATTTAAGTAATTTGGCAGTTAGTGAACTTTTCTACAATAATAACAATATAAAGTGATAATTATTCTTAATACAAAATGCTTAAAAAATCCACTTGGTCCCTGACACCCATGACACTGATGGGAATCGAACCCATGACCTTTCGCAATCCAGGCGACTGCTCTAACTGATAATGTTAATTAAAAAAAAATATGTATTTATAATAATTCAAAAATTTATCAATATAATATTACTAATAAGTTATCACTAATGTAGATTTTATTACAAAATTCCCATAATAGTATGGTAATCAAATCTATAAGTTTTATTCCTACTATCATTTGAAAGTGGCTATTCATATGTTGAAAAAAAAAAAAGTTTTGCATGCACATTATCATTAGCGTCATAAATATTATAATTTCACCTTTAAAGTCTAATACAAATGATATTTTATAAGGAGCCATACTTCTATGAAGCCTTACATATTCTTCATTTGTACTGTTGCACAATCCATCATGAAGAATAATAAATAAAGCATTTTCTAAGGATGTTGAACAAGTTATGCATGATGTATTATGGTACTGAAAAAAAAAGAAAAGTATTACAAAAACTTGAAACAATAATAGATTTTTATAATAAGAAATCATTACATTTTCTTTAGTCATTGTGATTGTCTCCACAGTGTGTTGTCCCCAAGGAAATTGAGCTGTTATATATGCATCAGCAGTATCATTTTCATATTTTACTTCATTGATGGCAAATAAACTGGGTGTAGTAGTTACCTTCAACAAATAAATTCTTAAGTTTTTAAAATGAACTCTACCATATAGAGGTAGAGTTAATTAAAGCTAAAATAAAATAACTTACAGAACTCCACCAATATTTTCTATAGCGTTGCCACTGAATAAAGTATTGTAAACTATCATGTTGTGGTACTAATATTCTAAGAATTAGTCTACCGTCTAACTTTGGTATCAAATCAAGAGGTTGTTCTATTAGTGTATTTTCATTATACCTTTTAAAATTGCTTTCAATTATACCATATGGCAGACCAGGATATTTATAACCAAAATTTTTTTTGCTAGTAAATATAGTCATATTTTTAGGTATTTTTAGATATATTGTTTTAAGCCAACTGTAATAAATATTATTGAGCAATAATATACTAGACTCTTTTAAGTTATATGCAATGCTATGATCTGTTGAATTGATAATCCTAAAGAATTTAGCCATAGAAAATACTGTCTTAAATTTGTTTTTCATCATTCTTCAGTAAATTTTGTTCTTCAATTACTTCATGTAATGGTATGTTTCCAGGAGGTGCAACGAAATAATCATCTTCTTTTACAGAAGCGTTCTTTAGAATATCTTTTTGTGAATTTCCTTGTGTGATATCATCATTCCTCAGATATAAGTTCCTTTAAAAATTTTAATAAATTGTATGTTAGTCATATAAGGAAATTAATAATTAGCTGTCTCAAATCGATACCACAGAAGTGAAGATGAAACTGAAAATACTGAAATGTTAAAGAACTTACTCGTTTTCCAATACAGAATATAAAGGTTTAATATTATCAGTATCTATGTCAAGAATTTTATTAGCAAAAGCAATAGAATCTTCTAATACGGTGAAACCTTTAGATGTATTGCATTTTACAAGTGAAAGTCTTTCTAGGAGCACCAGAGTTTTTTTATCAACGTGCAGATCTGCTTTGGGTTGGTCAATAGTTTTTACTGGTCGTAAAGGTATTTTAGAATGAAACTTCTTTGTAGCAATTCGGACAAACAGAAGTTTACTGAAGCTAGTTACATTGGAACTACAGATCATTTTATTTTAAGAGAGTTCAAAATAATAACAAGTAATACAAAATATTATACGCGGTTTTTTTTTATTAAATAAGATAAGGCTATGGGGGTTTTATTTTAGAGTTGTTCAAAACGATTAAAATACGTTAACACGCTGACACTAAATGTTATGAAAAATAAGCGTGTTAATTAATGCGTTAATTTATTAACACGCTAAGTACATAAAAAAGTGTCATAGATTATTAAGGTTTTATTGTTCATAAAGGAAATTGAGTTTGATGGTTGTCTGTTTGGCACATAATAAAAAAAACAAAGATCCAAATAAATTACTAATGGTACGATATCGTTTTATTATAAATATTACAAAAAACCTGCAAACAAACTTAAAGAGAACGTGGGATAAGTTCCCCACAAAAAGGATGCGTGAAAATCAGATTAAATCAAGCAGTATACTAAATCTAGTAGCACATTGTTTATTATATGTTGATTTTTGAATTGAGCGCATGCTATAGTAAAAAACAATTTATGAATATTTTATTCTAATACATATGAAATATACTATGTACAAGTAAATGAACTATGTACATTTTTTATCTACATGTAATATAATTTTACATCCCTTCACTCAAATTTGTCCTTCTGTTTATTAACATTATCATTTTTATTGTAAAAACCTACTTATCACGCGTCCATTAGCGTTCGCGCCCACGCAAATACTGTCCGTTCGGCCTCGGGTGCTAACGATCATCAGCCCTGTTACGTCCTTACTGCAGGCGCTCAGGACTTCCTTATGAATGGTTAAGGAGGACGGCCCATGACCCTCCACGCTGGTCCAATGCGGATTGGAGGGTATTAACGACTGCAAGTGCAGCCGGGACCAACGGCTTAACGTGCCTTCCGAAGCCCAGAGCTTATATATATACATATATATGTTTTTTTTGGTCACCCATCCCTTGCGAAAGCTTAACAATATCGATCGCGTGCTGCGGCGCTTATCCACTACGCCACCAAGCAAATGATTGTTGCGCATTAACACGCAAAATTAACGTGTACATACTTAACAACGTTAAGCGTTAAGTATGAATAGCGTGTTAAATTCACACGCTAAGCGCTAATTAAACCACCTCTAGTTTTTGTCACTGTGAGTCTGTGCTGTGCTTCTGTTATTTTTTTAATTTAGTTAATTGGATCAAAAAGTGTTATATCCATGTTTGCATACTAAAATAAAATCAGTTCGTAAATCATTCATATTTTTATTGATATCTAAGATTCGAACAATGCAAATTTCAGTTTCTTTTATGTTAGTTAAAAGAAACGCAAATGACTATCGGATCCATTCGTTTCCTGTTAAAATCAACTTTTGCTAGGGTTGCCATCTAGTCAGGTGCTTTTCTAGTGCTTTTTTTTTTCAAATACTTCCTCATTCTCTAGCATGGTGACAGATAACAAAAAGTTATTACATAGTGGATGCCACAAACATTTTTTTTTGGTAGATTTTTTCCGTAAAGGAAAGGCGAAGACGCCACAAATATGCGTAGCCTTAAAGTAGAGTATAATTTTTTTTTTAAATCAAAAGCAAAGAAAGAAGTCTAGCCCTTAGGCCGAGAACGCGTTTTGAAATACCATTACATGTTGAATTAAAATACACAAAAAATAAAAGTGCTAAATAATTCATTTGTATATTAATACAAATGCATTATTTAGCAATGTACTTTTACTTTGCACGAGCGGACTTGTGGGTAAGTTTATAAAATAATTTTTAAAATGTGCAGTCGTTCAGAAGAATGCTCTGTGTGATATTTAGTAATGATGTGCCGATTCGATTATTATACACATCGATTATTAAATATTGTATTTTTACCCCAAAAGTTTATTAAAGATTTCAGATTAATTCCACCGTATTTTAAAGCCATCTAAGTTAATGAAAAATAGTTAAAAATAAATTTTAAGACAATGTTTACTATACCAGCATTGTTCATGCAAAATTTATGGAATTAAACTAGCTTTACCCGCGATTTCGTCCGCGTGGAAAGTATCCTTAGTAATGAGGAAGTATTTAAAAAAAAACATTGGTTCCCGAAATCAAACCAGATGTCTCTACTGTACGTTATTGATTTCTCCATGACAACCTTTCCAGCTTTCTTTCATGTTTAAAAGTAAATTAGTTTTCAAAACGCAATAAACGACTCATACTCTATTTGTACTTTTTCGTATTTGTATTGATATCCCAGATAGCAATTTAAACTTGTTTCTGACTTGCAACAAGTTTGATATATCAAAAAAGAAGACATGCTTCACGTTTGCCATGACAACTGCAGCAACTTGCCGCAAGTAAACTTTCTAGTTTCAGCGTGACAAACTTGCACTACCTTTGAGATATGGCAAAGGTGCCTATGTACTGACTCAAATAACTAGCAGGTACACCGCGGGTAGTCGAGTACCTGTCATACAGGTTTCGAGGCAAATATTTATTTATCTAAGTTTTTATGAATCTTTTGATCATTCAAAAATTTTGGTCCAATAGTAAATGTGACTCAGACCACAGCACAGAGATTAGCCTAAGAGCAAAAGTAATTAACTGTAACGGTTGGATTCGATTCCCATATTAAGATCACATTAAACGGCATATTTCTAATACAATCTAACAATATAAACTGTTACCGCGATGCATTAATTGAACAGCGCTTTCTAATTTGTAGATTTAGAACTATTCGGGTACCTATGAAGATGATGGGTGTGTTACATATAAGTATCTTTGTCATAGTAATATTCAAACAATATTGTTGCAAACTTCATATTTAACATAACAATATTGCAACGACATTGTCACAAACTTGCCTCGTATATTTGACGCAGCAATTTAGACCCAAGGAAAAATCAAACTTGCCCCAAGTTAGCATGCTACATGGAATCTAAGTTACGAACTTTTCAAATTTCAGTTTTTTAATATGTTAGTTAAAAGGAACGGAAATGACAGTCTTTGTTCCATTCATTTCCTGCAAAAATCAACTTTGGTAGAGTCGCCATGTAGTGCCACGTTTTAAACTTTTCCTAATGCTAATGTATTAAAAAATAATCGAATATTAATCGTCGATTAGGAAATCATAATCGATAGCGACTGATTATTTGAAAAATCGATTAATCGATTTCGCACACCGCTAATATTTAGTTATGATGGCCATAGAGAAATTAGCGATGTGCCGAGTCGTTGTTTTAGTGGATCGAGTCGATTCGAGTCGGTTTATACGGTATTCGAATCATGACTCGATTCCGCAATTCGAGTAAGAACTCGAGTTCTATGTTTGGTATTCGAATGTTGACTCGAGTCCAGTACTCGAATCTAGAAATTGAAGTCCAGAATCTAGTCTGGAAATTCCAGTCCAGAACTCGAGTCCAGAACTCGAGTCCAGAACTCGAGTCTAGAAATTTGAGTGCAATACCTATATTATAACAAAAAAGTAAAATCAAAAAGGAATAAAAGGTTTAGCATAATGACACATCGATTATAAATCGAACATTTATTATGAAAATATTTTTAAAGACTACAGAAAAAGACATAGAACGTACTTAAACATGTCTAGGAACCAAAATGAGATCAAGTTCTATTTGTTTTATTACACAAAAAAAGGCGATATTTTTAGAAGCTTTTTATGTACGGTACCATAGTACCTAAGTTATAAATATTAAAAAATATATGAAAGGTAGATTAGTTATCAGCCAAAACAAAAAAGAGCTAATAAATATGTAATTTGAACTAACTGTTCAAAAAAATTATTTGGTCAACCTTCTTGGATTCTAGACTCGAGTCAGTTGGACTCGCATAATAGAATCGAGTTAACGAGTACAAAATCGATTCTTCCTGACTCGAGTATCGAAGTCGAGTCCAGCGTATTCGAATCAAAATTAACTGGTATTCGAGTACGCGAGTCCAAAGCAGGAATCGAGTCTGACTCGAGTCAAACCGTACTCGGCACATCGCTAAGAGAAATCTTGTATATTGGAGTAAAAGTGTTCTGTGGTATATATTCTGTGACCGACTAACCTAAAAATTCAGCTCAGCTGTTTACCGAAAATTTCTAAATATTATTGATTTTGAAAGAAGAATATTAAAATAAGTAAGTCGTGAACTATAATAATTATACAATGTCTGTTATAATTTGTGTATTAAAATATGTCACCATAATCGATCTTATTTCTTTACCAATACCTAAATTAACTTAACCAATACGTTAATTTCAGGAGAAATGAAGAAGTATGCACGGAATTATTTATATGATAAACTTCACAGAGGTGGTGTATTAATTTGTATTGGCTTGACATTATATGGATCCGTGCTTTTAGGTGATCACTTTTATAAGTATTTCAAATACGTTCGGCCTCAGATAGAGGCGTCTAAAGCGGCAGCTGAACAAGAACTGTTAGCCGAAGGTTCATCAGATAAATTATTGTTAAAAGATTAGTTTAATGTAACTTAAAAGACTTTGTTTTTAACTGTAAGATTAAGAATTTATTCAATACAGTCATATAATATTCACAGCCACTGCAAGCCAACTTCTAGCAGTTTTTTTTCTATATAAATCGAATGTTAGAGCAAAATTGAAAAGTTGTTGATTTGTGACCAATATCAAGAGATAGATTAGTATGTATATTTGATATAGTTAGTGTAAATAAAATTATTTAAATTCTTTATATTTGTAATTATTATTGATAATCTTACTAGTCATAATAAGTGGACTCTTACATATAAATGGAATAGAGTTTAAATTTAATATAGTCAAATATCTTATCTTTTTTAGCTTAAATAGCTTATCTTTTTCTCTGTTCTAGTAATATGTAGTTGAATTTAATGTTTTGGTCTTTGACAGTTAAATATGGTACTATCTTTTCTCAATTCAAAATAAAGTCAATTTATTGTTTGAATACTTTTATGTCTTGACACTTAGATAATCTAAGTTCCACTTAGATAATCTAGTTTAAGTAAGTTTATCTAATCACATCATGCATGTAATCAAAGAAATATACTCCTGTCTGCTATAATATTGATTTTAGTAAATTTAATTCTTTTATCTTAGTTATTTGCAGAATTCAAAATGTAGTTTTATAGGACTCAAACTAAAGTTTTTAATGTTGTAGAAATATGATAGTCACAATGTTTTATATAGATACTTATGCAGCATTTATATTTTGTTTTCTGAAGTAGAAGTCCAAATATTTTTATTGCGATTAATTTCGAACAGTTGATTCAAGACCTATTGTGATGATTATTCATCACTTTAGATTAAATTTCAACACAAATAATGTATTGAAAAATCACTATGTGATGCATATTCACTATTGTAATAAAAAAATAATAAGAGCAATATTTTAAGGTTAAAATATTTGATAAGCTTAGCGGCCAGTGTTGGCACAGCGATTCCAGCTTTCCAAATATATTAAGGTACTCTGTGAATTAAGCCAAAATTAGCCGACTGCGGCGCAAAATCAGAAAAGCACTAGTAGCACTACGGATCGCAGGCCAAATGCATCCCTAGTTTGACCAGACTGTTAAGATGAGGTTTTATAAGGGTAGACCCGGTGGGCTCCTTGCCGGATCTCAAGTCCTTCTCCCCTCAGAGAGTACTCGTAGTTTCAGTATGGGTGTGTTGTAGGAAGTCCTTGTTTAAGGCTTAAGGTTGCATTATAAAGGGTCCTTGACTATGTAACATAAAATATTTTGAATATTTAATAGGAGGGGCTTGACTTCGATTGACCTTATTTTTTTGTTAACACAGGGGAAATGCACCTTGAGCCTTAAATCAGGGCTCCTCTTCCTTCCCTTAAAAGGGTAGGTTAGTGAGGGAAGCCGTACCTGGTAAAACCCGCTGCGGTTCACTTCATGCGGATGGATGGGTCCGGTATCCAGCAAGGAGGGCCCGGACCCAATCCGCGCTGGAACTTCTCTGGGGGAGAGAGAAGTCGCCCTCTGCGGGAAGGAAAAGACAGCCTTTCCCAGATGGTGGACCGTGCCTGCGAGCTAATACGGGGTGGGGTGTGAGTCCTGTCTCGTCGATCCACAGAGGGGTGGGATGCGTTAATACGCGATCCCACGTCCGAGGCACGGGGCGCGGACCCGCCGCCGCCATGCTCGTCTGAGCGAGAATCATCTTGGTCCACGGAATCGCCTTGCTTAGTATCGTCGCTCAACAGTCATTCCTCGAAGGAGGGGTGAAGAGAACACCGGTACCAGCGGGTGAGGAATTTAGACCGGCGGACCCCACAAAGGGCGACTGCGTGCCCGCAATCTAGCCCTTCGCTGGGCCCGCCGACCGGCACCGTCACCAGCGGTTTCGCGGAGAAAGATTGGCCAATCAGGTTGAGATGGTGGTTTCGTTGGCGTAAGGCTTCGATTGACCTAAGGTTTTATGCAAATTTTTATATTTTCACTATCTCACCAGTTTTTAACTGGAACAGAAAAAGATACATAAATCTAAACTAACCTAAGACCTAAACTAACTTCATTTGAGGTCGGGCTAGTAAAAAGCCTCGACTTCGAACGGGTATAATTTAAACCTTTTTTTCTTTTTTTTTTCATATACTTTATGTGGTGGTAATCTCAATCGTATAAAATTGTGGCTTCACTTTGAAAATAATAAATCTTTCAGTTTTAAGCGATATTTCATTTACTAATTAATTATTTATTTACAACAAGGAAAAATTGAATATTTCTCAAGAACGTGTCACAAAGAGGAAATCCTAAATACATGACAAGTAAACTTCTTCTATAAAAATAATTACGTTGTGAACCAAAGAGTAAGTATTTACTTATACGAGGGTCAAACTGAAAGTTCTTAGAAAATCAAAAACTGATTACATTAGCCAGTTATTGTTTTATTATAGTTAGTTTTATTAGTTTTATTAGTTTTATTAGTTTTATTAGTTTAGTTTTATTATATCTTTTCAAAATATTGTCCATTCACGTCAATACACCGCTGCATGCGATGGAACCACTGGGAAAAGCACTTTGCCCACTCGTCCTTAGGGGTCTCTTCAATGGCATCGCGATACGCAGCCACCGCTTCTTCAGCATTCATAAACCGCTTTCCTTTAAGTTTTTCTTTAATTTTTGGAAATAAATAAAAATCACAAGGCGCGAGGTCGGGGCTATACGGCGGGTGACCCAGTAATTCAACGTTTGATGTCGCCAAATAGTCGATCGTTCGCTTGGCGGTGTGCGACGAGGCGTTGTCGTGGTGAAGGAGGATCCTACTGCGAGGTCGTTTCTCTCGAACTTTTTCCAAGACAAGTGGCAAACAATTGGTAGTGTACCATTCTGCAGAAACTGTTTTTTGATCCTCTAACACAATTGTTGCAAAATGACCTATCCTTCCAAAGAACGAGGCCACCATTTTTTTTCCCGCACTTCGATCTCTCTTCACTTTAGTTGGCAACTCCTCGAAAGGAAACACCCACTGAGCAGATTGTCTTTTGGTTTTAGGATCATAACAGTAAATCCAGCTTTCGTCACCTGTTAGTATGTCGAACACAGCATTTGAGTCACCTCCGTTAAATCTTTCAATCATTTTACGACACCAATCCACACGATGGAGTTTTTGAGCCTCAGTCAAATTATGAGGTATCCACCGGGCGCAAAGCTTCCTGACCGCTAAATGTTCGTGGAGGATTTTGTGCACTTGACTCATACCGATGCCTAAGCTTGTCCGAATCTGTTGATAGGTCACTCTTTTGTCAGTCTCTATCATACGCCGCACAACACAGATGTTATCTTCAGTCGTCGCCGTAGAAGGCCGTCCCTCACGTAAATCATCAGTGAGATTAGTGCGACCACGTTTAAACTCATTAAACCAGTTGTAAACAGTCGCACGAGATGGGGCTTCATCGTGAAAGGCCAATCGTAGTCTATCATAACTTTCTTGTTGACTTAAATGACATCGAAAGTCATAAAAAATCATTGCACGAAAATTTTCTCGTGTTAAATTCATGATGACGTGACACAGACAATTTTCAATTTGCCGCCAAATCGTAAAACAAATGACAAATGAATGAAATATATACTCAGTAATATTGGCAAAGAGTTATATTTTCAAATTTTAGAATTATTTTTTTATTATATTGTTTATAAGTGGCCAGTTCTAAGAACTTTCAGTTTGACCCTCGTATTCTACAAGTTTTAGGTGCAGCTGCCACAACACTCCCCTGCCGAGACCGTTTCACGGTCGATAGTAGTTGGGGAAATGTACTTTTCTTCCACTTCTAGTGCTTCTTTCAGCCGGATATTTTTCAGGTGGTGATTGCATAGTAGGTGGAGATGCACTCAAATCAGAATTACGTGCCATGTAAGCTGGCTTAAGTCTGTCAACAGATACAGGTAGTTTCCTTTCCTTGTATATCTATTTTCAATATTTGTCACGCGATAAAACTTTATGTGGACCGGTGTAAGGGGACTCGAATGTTCTCTTTGCAGGACCTCTACGCAGGAAGACGTATTCTGCTATGGATATGTCTTTGGGTAAGAAGAATTGCTTTTTCAGTATAAGTTGTGAGGAAGCATTTTCATTAATTTCAAACCTGTTCCATTCTCAATGAGATTTTGAAGTTCAGGATCTTGAAATTGGACTCGTGCCAGCTGTTCATAGTCAATGCCTGTAGTTATTTCCTCTACTCTGGAGAGTGCGTCCGCTACAACATTGTTTTGTCCAGAAATATGTCTTAAGTCAGTGGTGTGTTGAGAAATGTAATCTTAGTATCTAAAGTGGCGTGGTGAACAGTTATCTCGTTTAGTTTGGAATGCGAAAGTGATAGGTTTATGGCCTGTGTAAATTGCAAAATTTCTAGCTTCAAGCATATTCCGAAAATATTTTATCCCTTCATAAATAGCAAGAAGTTCTCTATCGTAAGGCCTTTATTTCTTCTGTGAAGGTGAAAGTTTTCTGGAGAAGAATCCCAATGGTGTCCACAGGTCATCTTTCTTTTGTTGAAGAACAGCTCCAATAGCTTGATCGAAAGGTAGAATGCCATCGGCTGATACTTCATAACCAAGAAATGTTAACTGTTTCGCGCCCCAAACACATTTCGACGTGTTTATTAATAAGCCATTTTTTAAAACGATCAAATACTATCTGAAGATGCTGCAGGTTCTCCTTCTCTGATTCAGAGAAGACCAAAATGTCATTACTTTAACCATATGTAAAATCAAGCCCTTGAAGTACCTCATCTATGAACCGTTGGAAGCTGCATTTCTTAAACCTAAAGTCATGTAAAGGAATTCAAACAATCCAAACTGTGTTGTTATGGCAGTCTTGGGTTTATCATCTTCTGAAACTGGTAATTGATTGTAGGCCTTCACCAAATCTATCCTCGAGAAAACCTTGGAACCCTTTAGTTGATGAGCAAAATCATGTATGTGTCTTATTGGATACCTGTCACGTATTGTTCTCGCGTTAAGTGCTCTGTAGTCTCCACAAAGACGCCAGCCGTCATCTTTCTTGCGGACCAGGTGGAGAGGAGAAGACCATAGACTATCTGATTTTCTAGCTGTGCCAGCTAGAAGCATGTTTTCAAACTCTGCACGTGTAATTTTGTGGTGTTCGGGATCTAAACGACGAAGGCGAGCTGCAACCGGTGGACCTGGAGTGATGCGTATGAAATGCTTTGTATTATGTGTAGGCTTCGGATGGTTACCTGATGGTCGAGTGATCTCTGTGTACTGTCGTAATAACTTATGATAAACAGAGTCTCCATTTACGACTTTGATAGCTAAAGTTTCGCTAATTACCTCATTGCAATGTATTGCTGCAACAGAAAGAGTGGTGAGATTATCAATTAGACGGTGTTGACGGCAGTCGACTAATAAATTATAGTGACTTAAGAAGTCGACTCCTATTATTGGCTTTGTAATATCTGCTACCACATCGCCATATGTATTCATGACGTAAACAAAGATTTAATTTCAGAGTTATGTATCCATAAGTTGAAATGATAGATTTGTTTGCAGCGAAAAGTTCGTATTTTGTTTTGGTTCGTCTGTCGTTTGTTGCTGCGAGAGGAAACACACATAAATCCGATCCTGTATTTATTAAAAATTTTAATTTTGTACTCTTGTCCGTGATAAAGAGGCGGTCATTGCAGGCATGGCAGTCATTAGCCGCTACTAATGGCTGCCGTTGTTGTTTTCCGGCTTAAATGTGCAGGGTCTGGTGCAACGAGTAGCTTTGACACCGAATTTGTTGTGGTACCAATACCAACAAACGCCATCACTTCTTGACTTAGAACGGGAACGAGATCTATAGTTGCGAAATCCTCGATAACGCGGTCTTACTTGACGAAATGTTAATTCATTAACCTTCTGAGTCAGCTCTGCAATTTGCATTGCCATTGCCTCCATCGCCGCAGTCTGAGCCAAAGGTGTAAAAGAAGTGGATGGAGTTACCTCAGAAACGTTCAGGGTGTTAGATGCAATGGAGTGTATCTTGTCCGCAAGCTCTGCCAATTTGTTCAATGCCATATCAGAATGTGACGCTTTAATTGGTTGGATACTGCTGGGGAGTCTACTTGACCAGATAGATCTAATAAATTCGTCAGGAGTTTTCGGTCCAGCCAGATGTCGCAGATGACGCAAAAATTGCTATGGTTTTCTATTTCCGAGCTCCTCATAATCTAAAAGCTGCTTAATTTTTTGTTCCTGTGATGCAGAAATTCTATTGATTAAAGTATTTTTTAACGTAAGATATTTATTTTCTTTAGGTGGATTTTGAATTATATCTTCAACTTCAATAAGCGTATTGATGATCAAGATTACCGCACACATAATAAAATTTGGTAATGTCCGAGTTGATGCCCGACAACAGGAATTGTCCTTCTATTTGAGCAAACCTTAAGGCTGGATGATCAGGCCAAAATGGCAGAACTTTCACAGCAACTTTAAATATTTCACTTTGTTTTTTCGAAATTATGAGTTGTACCATTTTGTTCATCGGATGCCGTCAGAGTACTGAATTGTTGAGAGTTGAATAAAATATTTTCCATTGTAGATTTTGGATCATAATTTCTTGACATTTTACTATTGTTGTTTTGTTCTTTTCGGGGTCACCAATTGTGGTGGTAATCTCAATCATATAAAATTATGGCTTCACTTTGAAAATATTAAATCTTTCAGTTTTAAGCGATATTTCATTTACTAATTAATTATTTATTTACAACAAGGAAAAATTGAATATTTCTCAAGAACGTGTCACAAAGAGGAAATCCTAAATACATGACAAGTAAACTTCTTCTTCTATAAAAATAATTACGTTGTGAACCAAAGAGTAAGTATTTACTTATATTCTACAAGTTTCAGGTGCAGCTGCCACACTTTATAGGTTAACGCTTGACTACGATCCCACCTGATGGTAAGTGGTGATGAAGCCTTGAGCGGTATAGCGCATTAACCTAGTAACAGCCTATTCACTCTTGATTTGAATTAATCGTAGTTAGGGAGTTGGTAAAGCAGTTTCTTGCGTTCTTTTTTACGTTTTCGTGCGTTGAACACTTGATTAAGAGCAAATTGGTTGCATTTCTTAAAAAAAAAAAATGCGTAAAATGGACCGACGAGCTTTCAACTGTCACATCAAGTCAACCGAGTTGTCAAGTCACACAAATTGTGTTGT